TCACAGATTGTAGTGAAGTCTAGCCAAAGTTTGCTTTTTGCAGAAAGCTGTTCATACGAATTTGATTTGATACAGATTCATAGAAGTCTTGAAAAGCGAAGGCCCAGATATACATGAATTTTAGTTTTGCAAGTAATTTAGATGCATAGTCATCGATAAAAAACGGCATTTCGTGAGGTTTAACGAAGTGGGAAAGAAAAATACCAACGTGACTGATACTGTATTGTCAGATGCCTAGTTAGGTATCGACCACTTGGTGGAAATGAGTTTGCATTATCAGAAACATTAACAGAAAGTGAGTAAACAGGTTGAAGCAAGTTGGAGAAAGGTCTGCTGAAGTATTTTTGTATGGAATGAATGGATTCACGAGTTCGATATCTCATCCCGCCCCATGGACTAAGTCCATTTTATTCGCACGAAAAGCCCATTTCGCGGGGACTTTCGTGGATATCATTCCAGGACCTATTATTCGTTGTTGTTTCTTCTTTTTACTGTAAACTATGCAAATCATTCGTACCCTTCTCCCCGTTCCTGAGCAATTCTTCCCGCGTTCTAACCCGGTTAGTGCGTAACGCTAGAACCGCCAAGAAAACTGAAGGTAGATTTTGACGGACTGTTTCAACATCGAAGCAGCCTTCAGTGTGAAGGGTTCAAAAGCAATGGCTCGGCAAATCCTCGACCTGTAGTCTTTTCGCTTACCTGGAATAATCCGACGCTCTGATTCCGAAAATTCACGATTTTTTCGGGCAATTTTCTAGGCAAGGACAGCATGCTGTAGGCTTGGACCTGCTCTGTTCTGATGTTTGGGGTGCAAGCAACCTTCTATACAAAAATTTCGAGATGTTCAATTTTGCCGAGGCACTGCCTTTGAGTTCGCAATGAAGTACAGGACAGTCGAACCATTTCGTATCATCATGTGTGACACTGCATGCGCCGTCTATCTTTGGCGTTCTCATCCTGGATTCTTGGAAACAATCCTCCTTGCAGGTGTTTTCGAAATGTTTTCAAGGTTTTCTTACTTTTTTAGGCACTATTCACCTCTGATGATGTAAGCGATAGCAATCGGTCTCCTAGTCTCCTGCGTTTTGCGAAATCCAGGATGAGGACTCCAGGCGCAAATCCAGGATGAGGACGCCAAAGATGGATGGTGTGGCAGGTGCACCCATGTTCATATGAAGTGATTCGATTGTACTTATGCTTCATAATTAACGATGATCAAGGCTACCTTCGCTCTGACATATGCTAGAATCTCTCACATCCGCTTCTCTCTCTCTCTCTCTCTCTCTCTCTTTCTTTCTCGATCACGTCTTTTGAGCTCACCCTCTGACGATAACGTCACTTGTATTATTACGTTCGATACAAACGATGAATAAATCCATCCACTTAACCACATCGAACACAGTAGAAAAAGAGACGCAAGAATCACCCTTCCGCTTACAAGCCACCTTAAGTGAACAACCCTAGCCACAGATCTAACAGCAGTCCTCGCGCTCGGGTACCAATTTCGCTGTCTGCGCCGCGCTTTTGCAACCTCATCCCATGGGTACTCGCGAACGATGGTGGTTAGTGTGTGCCCTATATGTGGTTGTGCTGAATTCTCTTCGAACCCCAGCTTGCTCGCGCGGTTGTCTTTCATCTAATTTTCTTCCAATCCTGTTGACCAACTCGCGTAAAGAGTTTGTAGAATACAGACAACAGGCAGATAAGGTAATAATTGCCGATGTCGCAGGGATCTCCCTTCTTTACAGCGACACGGTTTTGCTGATCTCCCATTGTCTTCGGACCTTGCCTTTCATCAAGTACCTCATGAAGAGCCTTTTCAAGGTCTTGATGAGAAGTAGCACAGATCCTTCAGACGTTCTGGCTTTAATCCTGTCGGGACCGGATGCTGTACAATTCTTCATCGACATGATAGCATGACGAAACTCGGGAAGACGGCGGGACATACTCGTCCTCCCTAGGGTGACCTAAAGGCAGGTGGACGTGGCTGTCAAAGGGGTCAGAGTGGAAGTCGTAAATGACCTTCTCCATTAATTTTCGGAAAACAGTTATGGTTCCGTCAGAACGACGAAGTGGGTCATCTTTGTTATGAAGTTGATGAAGCTTCGGCGGAGTTGCGTATACTTCTTCCAGCCTCCTCAGTTAACCATCACTGCTGCCTTAATCTCCTTGAGGTCTTTTTTTGTAATCACTTCTGGGGATCGCTTTGCAAGCTCGGACGTCAGTTGGTAGTTGCCTGTGGCTCGTCAATGTCCACGTTGGCGTGTCAGCTCCAAAGTGTCCGAGGTAAGCTTTTCCGTACTTCTTAGGCTCTGAGCTTCCTTAGCACAATCGTGAAGATGTTGAACGAAGCGTTCGTAATCTTCGTCGATGTTGTCGATCACGGTATCTCGCCATGAGCCGGATTGACTAGAACTTATCCCATTTGGTGGTGGCCATATAACAATATTTCCTAAATTTTACGGCTCTCTCCATTCCTAGGAAGTAGAATCTGGCGCTTAGAAGGCGATGGTCTGATCTTGTGTAGAGCTTCAGAACAACGGCGACGTCCCTAAGGTAATATCCTCTGTTAACAATGACGTTGTCAATCTCGTTATGGTACTCTCCACCAGGCGATTCCCACGTCCACTGTCGGAAAGGGGGCTTTTGAGAACTGTGTTTTAGTCCTATAGTCCTCGTCGCCACGATAAACTCGGACAGTCTCTCCTTTATCCCTTCCACCGATGGGTTCATTGTTTCCGCAGGCGACCTTCTAGGTCCGACCTTTGCGTTGAAATCACTTGTAGAAGGTCTGGACTTCTCTGTAGAACCTCTCCAAACCCACATAGAAGGGCCTCGAGCTCGTGTTCTCGTCGTAACTTAATGTTGGGGCATACGCAATGAAGATGGCGAAGGTAGGGATTGATCCACATCTTGATATTCGCAAACGTCTCCGGGTTGTGAGTTGTTCGAGAGCATTGATGTTCATGGCCACACTGGTGTTGACAAGGACTCGCACTCCACCTACTTCATAGCCAGATGCAGATACCTGACGATTACTGCTGGATGTGCGAGCTGAAGATGAACGCTTACAGGAAATGAGCGAAGTCGGAAAGTACGCGAACGAGCATCTCAGCACACTTTACTTTCATCAATGTGGAGCATCCACCTGCAAGGCAGGCTATAGCTACAAGAATCATTCACACAGAAGATCGTGCGACATCATGTGATCGTTTTTTGTGTGCATATTGCATCTTTATAGATAGCAGGCTACTTTGATTTCTTACCAGGCTACTTTAAGGGCAGCTACGAAAATGTAGAGTACAGGGGCGCAAGTCTTGGTTAGGCTCTTGCCCAACTGGCAATGCACCAACTTACTTCTAAAGCGAGAAATCCGCTTCAAAGGTGGCGACCGGAACGCCCCGGCGACCGGGACGAGTTAGCTCGATAGGCCAGAGAGCGCATGCCGCACACAGTCAAGACGTAGGGTCCCACAAAGACTCCGCGTCTTGACCTCGGCGGCGGGCGACAAAATTCAAATCAAGAGCTGGAAAAGCCCGTTTTCAGCGTTTTCGTGCCCTCCAAGCATCTTTTTTAGAGTCAGCGGGAGGAATAAGCCCAGGTAAGCGAAAAAATTCCATTCGAAATTTTGCCCGGACGCTGCCTTCAAACTGTTACTACATTGTTGGAAGTGATATCGTAACCATATAGGAGTAGGCTGCTTACAAGGGAGGTCCGATTAGTCGAAGTGGTCTTTCCAGATGAGTCATATACCGTTTTGAGCTTCAAACGCTGATTCCGAATCTGTCTTCGTTATTGCCGAGCGCCCCTAGTCGCCGAGTTATGAGAATTTTTTGGGTTAGAAAATTGAACGCAGAATTCAAGTAAAATCAACTGTTACGGATTTTTCAGGCTTAAATAGAGCAGCTTGTAGCATGAGCGTTTTGGACAGAAGGTTTCTTCAAATGGAGTGCTTTGATAAACGAAATTGGACCATTTAAGCAATTTTGACGAATTTTGTACCAATTACGCATTCAATTTCAACCCAAAAAACGCTCATAACTCAGCGTCCAGAGGAGCTCGGCCGATAACGAAGACAGATTCGGAATCACCGTTTAAAGCTCTTTGGAATGGTATATGAATCATTTGGAAAGGCCACTTCGACTGATCGGACCTCCCTTGCTAGTAGAGTGATCGCATTGAACGATCTGATACATTATTATGACTGTCACTGTAAACAACTAGATATAGATCAGCTGAAGTCGTATAAAGGCTCACTTTTATCTGTTAATGATCAAGACTACAGTATCTTACTGTATCATATCACAAAGCTCACTAACTCATTCATAGACACAGAAAATTCGTCATTATATTCTGTGTATTTGACAAGACCCCAAAAACGCCAGATGTTTCTCATCTTATATATAAAGCTGAATGTCTGTCTGTCTGTATGTCTGTCTGTCTGTCTGTACGTATGTGCGGAATAGAAATTTTTATTTCTGAACCGATTTGGACCAAACTTGGCACACATATACTTCGGGACAGGGAGCGTGTCATAGGCTACTTTTCGTTATCGATCGATATCGATTTTATCGATTTTTTGCAAAATTTGAGCTACGGGGCTGGGAGTTGGCACAGGGGGGTAATCGAACATGCTGATCACCCCCGTGGGGGTGATCAGCATGTTTGATTACTCCCCTGTGCAAAATCCCAGCCCCCTAGCTCAAATTTTGCAAAAATCGGTGAAATCGACATCGATCGATAACGAAAAGTGGACTATGACACGCTCCCTGCCCCGAAGTGTATGTGTGCAAAGTTTGGTACCGGGCGGAGCCGGGTTTGCCATCTAGTACGATCTAAATACTGAATAACAAACAATCGCAGACATCGCAAACAAAAGATGAACGGAATGCGCAATCAGTCGCGAATTCCTAGATGAATAAACTCAGAGGTTATACTCAACGCGATCATAGATGGTCGCAAAAATAGAGGAAGACAAATTGATTTCAAAACATTCAAAGCCAACAGAAAACAGAAAATCGACGTGCTAATCTCTCGTATAAGAAAAAATCAATAAGACGTGTCAGAAAAAATGCAGAAAGTAAAACTCCAGTTATTATGTAGACACAATAAATAGATGTTAGAATCTCATCTTCAACAAATCTACGCAATACTTTTGAAATGGTGAGCAGCAAGAATAAAAGAGTATGTACATGACCATATGCTCAAGCAGCTCTATCTTCGTCTCGTACCTCCGTAACCTAAAATGAATAAAAAGCAATCAGAGGATTGATATGTGCAGAATGAAAGAGCGATGTTAAAAAGTTCCAAAGCATTAGATAAGTAAATATGAAAAACATTTCTTTTTCTACAAGAAAGGGCATTAATCGAATAATAAAGAACAATTTTTTCTATATAGAAGAGCATTAATACTAAAACGCGCTGTAAAAAATGGGAAGTTTGCTCTCGTATGCAAACCATATGCTGAGCAGCTGTTGATAAACAATGTACGCGTCTTTTCGTCTCACGAGGAAATACGCATGCAAATAGAACTAAATAATGGTCTGGGATTTACCGGTTGTATATAAAACCGAAGAAATTATAAAGTCTCGATATGTACAGCTCTATACGTACCTGTACTCTCGTGCATTTGCGAAGTGCTCGGTTGATCAGCACGAGAATCATCAAAGCCCGTATCCCTCATGAAGCGCTCATTCCTATAAGGTTGCGAATAACCGAATGCAGAAGATGTGGGAGATGTTCCCCTGAAATAGTTCATGAGTAGCAGAACATGCATGAAGGACACTCAGCTTACCCTCTCCTTCCGAAAAGATATCCTCCCAAGGCACCTAATCCTGCCCCAGTCCAGAAGCCAGGTCCACTACTCGTAGAGGCAGAGCCTGTCGGACGACTCTTAAAACCCATGGCGTCGTCGTAGCTTGGTGGTGGAGGTGGAGCACTTGGCGGTGGGTGTCCACCTCCGGGATATCCTGGTCCACCATCGTAACCACTTCCAAACCAGCTAAACAGAAAACTAAAGGAAACTAGAGCATGGATTAACGGTAGATTCGAAAGAAAGTTTATCAGAAAATAATCGAGACGTCAATTGTCACACAAGAAAACGGAAAGAAAGAACAAATTAACACTTTCTACAACAATTTACTCAGGTTTCATAGCATTTGATGAATGAAATCAGAAAATCCATTCCAATCCTTTCAAGATATGCGCTGAAGCCAAAGTAAATCCCGTAGAATGTAAAGCAAGATAGATGCTGGATTTCATTGAGTTGATACCATGCAAAATTTGAAATAAAAGTGATTGAAAACAGCCTGCGAATGAGTTGAGGAATGTGACAGAAAAATTTCAAACCAGATCAGTACCCATATCTTGGAGGTGCCCGTGGCCCCTGTGGAGTATTGTTCGCGAAGAACATCGCGTATATTACGTAGAGTATGAATGCAGCAACAATGGCATTGGCAAAGTTTTCTTGAGTAAACCTAAAAAAACCAGATTACAAAGGCATGTGCGCGAGCGTAAACATACCATGATGACCAGCCAGACTTTCGACTTCTGCTAACATCCTTCTTTGCATAAGCTGTGTTAGAGTATTCCAAATCATACTCTAGCTGTAACAAAAATAAACATGTGGAGAAGATGGAGCAAACGAGAGCAGATAATCAAAGACATACCCCGCAACTGCCTTTCAAAATATATGGGTCTTCAGGGTAGCTGTAACCTTCACATGTGACAGTTACCTGAAAGGCAAAAACTAGCGGAATCCAGCTGAAATCAAATAGAGTAAACCAGACTCAAAATCTTTATTCACCTGGCCAAATTCGAACTCATGAGGCATATCCGCAACACATTTCCATTGGTAATCAACTCCATCGAAACCTTGCTTCGTACATTGTACCGTGCGTGGTCTATACTCTCCTTTAGCTTTACCGCCAACACACTTTATCTGAGGGACGGGTGCTTCACGGCGACCTAAAGTTAGGTTTTATATGGAGAGCGATAGACATATTCACTGTCAGAGAACTTTCCTACATTATATATTACTAGTTGGCAAACCCGGCTCCGCCCGGCCCTGTTAAAAACATATTTGTAATCAGCACGCTCGATTACCCTCTGTGCCAACTCCCAGCCCCGTAGCTCAAATTTTGCAAAAAATCGGTAAAATCGATATCGATCGATACAAAAAAATGTAGCCTATGACACGCTCCCTGCCCCGAAGTGTATGTGTGCAAAAATTTCTATTCCGCACATAACATACATACATAGAGACAGACAGACATTCAGCTTTATATATAAGATGAACTGTCCACGGAAGGTTCCACACGCATTCAGCACAGAAATCAAAATGAAATAGGTCTTACCCTACATTCAATGATGACTCATCAATTTTCGCTGACACGGAATTTTATAACTGCTAGCAAAGGTGAAAGGTGTGTCGAACAAAATGCATAGTCACTCATAATAAAGTACTAGCTGGCTTGCCCGGCTCCGCCGGGCCTGCCAGCTAGACCCGTGTACGTATGTTCCGAATAGAAATTTTTATCTCTGAACCGATTGGGACCGAACTTTGCACACATACACTTCGGGGCAGGGAGCGTGTCACAGCCCACTTTTCGTTATCGATCGATGTCGATTTTACCGATTTTTTGCAAAATTTGAGCTAGGGGGCTAGGATTTTGCACAGGGGGGTAATCGAGCATGCTGATCACCCCTTCGGGGTGATCAGCATGCTCGATTACCCCCCTCTGCCAAATCCCAGCCCTCTAGCTCGAATTTTGCAAAAAATCAATAAAATCGATATCGATCGATAACGAAAAGTAGCCTATGACACGCTCCCTGCCCTGAAGTATATGTGTGCCAAGTTTGGTCCCGATCGGTTCAGAAATAAAAATTTGTATTCGGAACATACGTACATACATACAGACAGACAGACATACAGACAGACATACAGACAGACAGACAAACAGACATTCAGCTTTATATATAAGATTGTAAATGACTAATCGAGTGATTATGGTCTACATCGTTAGCAATTGAAATATGGCTTTCAAAAAAAGGCTTGGGTAAATGAACAAACATTTTTTCCAGATATTAACCAAATCCCATAACAGAAAGATACGAAGGTTACTTAGAGCACTGCTCACCCGTTGTATATTGTCCATCACGTAAAGTTATTGTACTAACATCCCGTAGTAGAACTCGATCGTTGGCACCACATTCTAAACAAGCCTTTCATCAGTGAAAAGATCATCAACATCGGTTTAGAAGATCCAGATGAAAACCAACATACCTCCTTGTCCTAAATAGAATAAAAGTACTACAAAAACGAGTAATCGGTAAACGAGAGACATCCTCGTGATGGAATAGTTCGACACAAACCCAGGCTGCGGAGAGTGTCCTCAAGTCGACGTCAGCATAACGTAGGCTTGCGAAATTACCGAGGCGGGGCAGACGGGAACCGACCAAAGTTCAGAATGAGTCCATCAGACATCTGTAGATGAATGTGTTGTTGATCTGATTCAGCAAACAAAGCTGAATCCTCCATTAGTTATCGATTATATCGCTGCTTTCACTTCTCGAAGGTTTGGTTTTGGACTTGTCTGTAGTATCGCGTCATGCACAGATGAGATTCTGAACAGCGCTGTTCTGACCATTATCTTAAGCTTCTCAATAGTTTTATCTGGTTTTTAGCAACTCTTCGACTTTCGCTCAAATGATACGAGCCATAGGGGCATTGATTTTTTTCTCCTCAATGCAGCGCAATCCTTTGATAACGGGGATTTACGATTTGACCCTCTTGATTGTATATAATCTCGCACCGACCTCAAATCCCAAGTGCGTGGACTTTTTTTCAGTCAATCATCAGTTACGCTCCACTTGTTGTCATACTATTAGGCGTAGAAAAAACTTTGGGACCATACCAGAATACACAACCCAAAAATGAAAAATCTCGGATTTCGGTTAAACTTCCTGCATAGAGGTTATTTACATGCTGATTACGGAATGATAATCATTTCGCATGGTAGGGCTTTTTGAGGGATTACGATAGACATACGGTATAGAGTCGAAGTCTGAGATCTTTCTAAAACTCTGCTCATGCTGAAACTTTGCACATACTCTGCACACTTTTTCATTTTGGGTTGTGAAAAAACGCTGTTCTGAAATAGTACCAAAACCCTTCCCTATGATGCGGAGAATGCGTGAGAAAGCTGGCTCTTATTGACAAATCTTCTCTCCTTTTTTTTATTTGAGCCGACTTACCAAAGCAGAATGGGTTTTTCAAACCCGATAAAATAGTCGCCGATGTGCATTCCATTTAGCGCGCAGATAGTCTGTGCCACATTGGAGTCGGTTCCATAGTGGCACTCTGAAGTGAACGCTAAAATGCGTGCGGATCGGCACATCTTGGCGGGTGGATGGCTCACCTAAATCTGTAAATTTCTTAGTATGGCGAAAGTTCTTTAAAAAAAACTGTAATTTTTAATGTCCTTTGATGTTGCCTCCTGATGCCAGATCTTAAAAACCTACAGGAAAAAGGGGTCTTGGAACTGAATTGTGTATTATGTGACTTTTAGATTTCCGTCTTTTTTCTGTGACTGAAATTGAGGGCTTTGTTTCTATATGTTAACAAGAATGCTGAATGTCTTTATGTGTCATCACGTAAACATCTCTTATCACAGCGTGGTGTTGTGTGTCACATTTACAAGTTATATTGTCCACGTCTCGAATTCGCGGCATTGACAGCAGGTTTTCTCTCGTCAACGTCGTACATCGTACAAATCGATGCCGAACTCGATCTGTCCCAATTTTTTACGGCTTCTTTTTTACCGCTGCACTTCAAACACGCATTAGTCGCTCGTGCCGCATTCTTCTTTACGAACGCACCGCAATTTGTCAATTCTAACCTGTTGTGAATTGAATTCTTGGTTCGTTTTTACCCTAACTTGCGTAACATAATATTATATAACCGCTGAAAATGATGGATCTATGTTCGCGTGCCTTCTTTTATTACTTCATATTTTTATCTTTCAACATCGATATCTTGCACACGCACATTGCAAATAGAACTTAGGTAGATATCTATTCAAGTTGGACTGCGGGCGCGGGAAATATCTTTACCTTTGCGTTCCAAAATCTTGGGAAAATTTTGACTCCTAGAGCGAAGAAAGACTTTGTAACTGAATGTATATACATTAGGTTTCAAAGTCAATTTGTTTTAGTCTCGACTATATTTCTTCACTTACATTAGTCACGATCTGCTTCTATATGTTGGGAAGTACATTTATCGACCCACACAAAAAAGTACGAACTGCTTCTTCTCTTCTTGTTCCTGGGGAGAAATATGGGAGGGTAGCCCATTTTTCTAAAGCTTCTGACCAAGCAAAGTTATTACTTTGGTGAAAGCTGACCTTTTCAACAAAAGCGAAATGAATCCAAAATTCAACTTTGGTTACATATCAAAGCTCTGACAGTTCACTGAATATGTTCGTTGTCATAAATTTGAAGTCACATAACTTACTGATCATAAAAAAATCAAAACTATAGTTTATTGTATTACGAGTCTACGACGAGTTTACGAGAGGCTGTTCATTACTGACTTTTTTGTAGGAACTAGTTTATGTCGTACCCGATTAAAATTCTTACGAGCGGATTACCTCGCAGACAACCATTTGCCCCTCTTCCCCCCCCCTCTTCCCCCCCCCCCCCCACCCCATCTCCCCTTTCTACATACTCTGTCGTATTGAGAGAGCATACACAACGTAGTTTTTTTGGACCGGTCTCAAATGATAGTAGTTGAACTTCCTGACTCGGTATGGATTTTTTTTTCAATTAACGGGCCTTACTTAATTTGAGCCATGGGAATGTATGCTTTAACGATAATTATCGACCTTTCACTTTGCCGAGTGCTTGATAGAGCAACATAGTTGCGATAGGGGGAGTGATGGATCTTACCCCCTTCACTTTGAGGCCAAACTCCCGATGACCCCCTTCACCTGGGCTGAGATTGGTATCGTACTCTGAGAATATGATAAAAATCGTTATGAAAAGCAGGCTAAGTACCTCAAACAACAAGTACACTCATAAATTTACTAAAGAAACGGTATTTATGTTTATTTATATTATTTATTTATCCTCGTAGCATTTTGGAGAGCAGAAAGTGAGGACACAAAATCAGTTAATTTTTGAAGCACATAAAATCCCTCATATCTCGCGGCACAGAAGACCTAGAAAAAAGTCGACGGTCTACGTCGATTCTCCATGATCTCAGCTTTCGAATGGTATACAGCATGTTAGGGCTTCTTTGCTTCCCGGCTCTAAAAATCATTTTCTCCGGTAACCGATAAAAGCCAATACATTGGTGGAGCCGGATTGGAGCAAGCTAATAGTAAATATCTCCACCCCATTTTTGAAAACTGGTCCGTTTTTTCGCCCAGCAACCTATATACCATTCGAAAGCTCAGGAAAAGGGGATTCGACCTAGACCGTCGACTTCTTTCTAGCCCCCCTCTATCGAGAGATACTCAGCATTTTATCTGAAAACATGGTCATTTTCAACAGCAGATTTCTGCCGAATGAAGACCTAATCACTGCTGCTTATCTATCTGTGTTAAAGAGCAAGTCTTCATTAACAAACGTAGACCGTCGACTTTCTCGTAGCATTCATTTGGAGAGCAGAAAGTGAGGACACAAAATCAGTTAATTTTTGAAGCACATAAAATCCCTCATATCTCGCGGCACAGAAGACCTAGAAAAAAGTCGACGGTCTACGTCGATTCTCCATGATCTCAGCTTTCGAATGGTATACAGCATGTTAGGGCTTCTTTGCTTCCCGGCTCTAAAAATCATTTTCTCCGGTAACCGATAAAAGCCAATACATTGGTGGAGCCGGATTGGAGCAAGCTAATAGTAAATATCTCCACCCCATTTTTGAAAACTGGTCCGTTTTTTCGCCCAGCAACCTATATACCATTCGAAAGCTCAGGAAAAGGGGATTCGACCTAGACCGTCGACTTCTTTCTAGCCCCCCTCTATCGAGAGATACTCAGCATTTTATCTGAAAACATGGTCATTTTCAACAGCAGATTTCTGCCGAATGAAGACCTAATCACTGCTGCTTATCTATCTGTGTTAAAGAGCAAGTCTTCATTAACAAACGTAGACCGTCGACTTTCTCGTAGCATTCATTTGGAGAGCAGAAAGTGAGGACACAAAATCAGTTAATTTTTGAAGCACATAAAATCCCTCATATCTCGCGGCACAGAAGACCTAGAAAAAAGTCGACGGTCTACGTCGATTCTCCATGATCTCAGCTTTCGAATGGTATACAGCATGTTAGGGCTTCTTTGCTTCCCGGCTCTAAAAATCATTTTCTCCGGTAACCCATAAAAGCCAACACATTGTATAGGTCGTCCCGAATGTTTTATTGAGCACAATTTTCAAAAATTCATAACTTCTGATTTTTCCAGCCGATTTGACTGCTTTCACTTTTATGTGAAAGGGTAAGTCATGCTCTTTAATGACATCTTATCTGCTTGGTAATGGTCATCTCTTGCATAGATAGAAGCTCAAAACAAAATCACTCAAAATTTGAATTTTTGTGTAGGGTCATAAAAAATCAGAAACTTGCAACAAAATCGGAGCAGTCGGTATTTTAGGTTCTTTCACCAACTCTTTCTAACAGTGCAAAGTTTGCTACGATTGAGCGTCTCCAGGAAAAGTTATAATTTCCGAGCAAGCAGTACAAAAAGGCGAATTTGATTTATTTTGGCATTCTTCAGGGAAATCATAACTTTTCATGGAGACGCTCGGCGCAAACTTTGCACTGTTAGAAAGAGCTGATGAAAGAACCTACAGTACTGACTGCTCCGATTTTTGTTGCAAGTCTCCGATTTTTTATAACCCTACACAGAAAATTAAAATTTTTACCATTTTTCTTCTATCGCTCCTATCTATGCAACAGATGACCATTACTAAGCAGCTGAGATGTCATTATAAAGAGCATGGCTTACCGTTCACATAAAAGTGAAAGCAGTCAAATCGGTTGGAAAAATCAGAAGTTATGAATTTTGAAATTCGTGTGCAAAAACTTTCTGGACGACCTAATAAGAGCGAGGTGGAGCAAGTTAATAGTAAAAAATGTGCTGTGGATTGACATCGTTATCAGCACTAACGGGAACGTGAGCGAACGCGTCTATTTGAGCGTGCTTATCGTTGTTATATGTTTATGTTTTTTTTTGGTAAAAAATGCGCTTTTGATTGACAGTTATGCCATCATTGTTAGCACACACTCAAAAAACTATGGGAGATTGGTGAATTTCCACACCTTCACACAAAACCCGCCCATTTCTGGAATCTATACTCTGTAAACCTAGTGCTGAAGAAGGTCACTTTCGTGAAAACGCTCTAGACTCACCTTATCTAATTTGTAGAGAATGGTTGGTTTCAATGAATTAAAAACTCTAAGACATTCAGAAGAATAACATGTTATTAAAATATTCCTCAATGTTTTGGAAAGGTTGGCAGTTTGAAGAGGAAACGGCAGGCAGAATACTTTACAAAATCGCAGATGACTCGCACGTGTTCCAGTTCAACAGCGAGGCAGAAGGAGAATCTTACGCCGACGAAAATGTTGTCGACATTGATACAGAGTTTGCAATTGAGCGAAACTCTCTGATTTCCTGCATAAGGAATCCAAGCAGATTGTCTAGTTTCAATGAGGAAATGTCCAGGAAGTCCATTGCTGATCTTCAGGTTGCTGAAGAATTCAAGGCTGCTAAATTCACAAACATGGATATGAACAAAAGGAAGGTGTTAGTACAAAGCATAGTTACTGCGCTTAGATCCCGGCTGGAGTGCGAACCCAACTCTGTGCTTTATGCTTTTGAAAGTTATTCACCTTGTGACAATATGACCTATGATATTGAAAAAAAAACCAACGCGCAGCATGGTACCTCCTTTTTTCGGCTATTCCGCAGATGCTATTAAAGAAGAAGTTGAGCAGCTTTCTAATCAGCTAACAGGACGTATGTCAGAGGAGGTGAATCCAGAGTTCGACAAGGCCCAAAAAGTACCATTTGATTCAACTGGCTTGGCATCGGCAAAGGCGGGACTTCGTGATCTGATTAAGGCTAGGCAATGATCAGGGAGCACTCGCGCGAAAGAGACGCAGGTGCGTCGCGGGCGCGAGCGGCCTCAATCAGATCACAAAACCCCGCCCTAATGGTGCCAAGCCAGTTGAATCAAAGGTTACACTATTTCCTTCCCGCGTTGCGAAAGCATATGAGATCTGGCTCTTTTCCCATTACTTACCGCAAAAATCTGATGGACCTACTAGCAAAGCTAGTTTCCATTCCGACTAGCACGGCAGAGGTAGAGAAAGAAATTTTCTATCTACTCTGTCATCAGAACACAACGCAGAAGTCGTACAACGATAGAGCATCTAAGCAAATACTTAAGATTTGTCAACCTCTACTAAACACATTGTTATCTAAAAACTTCATTTAAAGGATTGATATAAGTGGTCCAGACAGGCTGTTACCGTATGACTTTTTGAAATATCCTAAAAGAAGGTATGAAGAAACCGATCACCTACCTGTTGACTTCCTGGTGCTACCAGAGGGCCACGAAAAAAATCACAAAAGCGCTTAAAAGAAGAAGAAAGTTTCAAATCCATTTTCGACTCAGAACGCTTTTGCACGCAATTCTACTTCTACTCCGATGACCTTTTGGAGGAAGAAGAAGATTTTTCAGGCAGCGAACTTGTTGTCTCTGACGTTAGCGATAGTGATATTGTTGATGATGATGTGCAGGAAATGAAGTTGTTCCTAACTTGTACATCTTTTGGGATAAACATTATTGCTTTCGTTTTTTGTTGATGCATGAAACAGGAGCACAGATCTTCATAACCAATTTTTTTAAATTTTTTAATTTTTTTTGAAAAATTTTAATTTTTTTTTTCAATTTGTGCCTAAATAAGGTACAAATTAGAGCTCTTCATACCACGCTTTTTTACCTTTTCTCTCTTCCTCCCCCCCCCCCTAGACTCACATACCCCCTTCACCCTGGAAGGTCGGAAACAGCCGAGACCCCCTTCACCTGGGGAGAGCCCGGCTCCCCCTATCGCACCTATGTAGAGCAATATGCATTTTAATGGCTAATGCATTAACGTGCTACGACCCTGTCAATAGCAACTTGTCTTTGATATTCTATGTCACAGAATTATCATGTTTTTGAAGTTTTTTTATAGCACAGGCTTCATCGTGTCTCTTTTTCTTCTAAATGAAAAGTTCATGCCATATATATACATAAATTATCACAGTTCTTACATCGTCAAGTCTCGAATTCTGCACTCCTTCCTGTTTGCGCAGTAGTTTTTCCACCTAAATCTTATATATAAAGCTGAATGTCTGTTTGTCTGTCTGTCTGTATGTCTGTCTGTATGTCTGTCTGTATGTATGTGTGTACGTATGTTCCGAATACAAATTTTTATTTCTGAACCGATCGGGACCAAACTTGGCACACATATACTTCAGGGCAGGGAGCGTGTCATAGGCTACTTTTCGTTATCGATCGATATCGATTTTATTGATTTTTTGCAAAATTCGAGCTAGAGGGCTGGGATTTGGCAGAGGGGGGTAATCGAGCATGCTGATCACCCCGAAGGGGTGATCAGCATGCTCGATTACCCCCCTGTGCAAAATCCTAGCCCCCTAGCTCAAATTTTGCAAAAAATCGGTAAAATCGACATCGATCGATAACGAAAAGTGGGCTGTGACACGCTCCCTGCCCCGAAGTGTATGTGTGCAAAGTTCGGTCCCAATCGGTTCAGAGATAAAAATTTCTATTCGGAACATACGTACACGGGTCTAGCTGGCAGGCCCGGCGGAGCCGGGCAAGCCAGCTAGTGGTGAATAAACCAGCAAAGTGACCACAATTATCTTTTATTGAGAACGCAATGGATATTATGGAGAAAAGTTCTAGAATGGTTTTTCGGAAGTTCCAACAGTGGAGTCATATGGTAAATACATAAATATTAACAATAAATAAATATCCACGTTTTGGAACTATATTCATCTTACTCAAGGTTTTCCCCAAGAAAATCCTAAATTCAAAGGCCAAGACACTTCATCTTGTCCTTCGTTCATGGTCCTCTAAGGTCAAGAATGGACATTTTTTCTCCTTATGTATTCCTCAATCTTCGAGCATGTTCCACGGCAAGTTTTCCCCACTCCTTTTTTCGCCCTCCCTCCCATTGATGCAGGATCGATTGCTGTCCCCGCTTCGTTTCAAGTGGCCAAATTCTTCTCGTGAAAATATGGTTTATAGTTCGCGATGAATCAGTGTGTGCATAGGCTTGCCAGCGAAGTTCGTTGGTGATTTGTATTCGTAGCTTGGTGACAATCGTTTTTATTCGAGCACTTTTTAGTATTATAGCTGAAATTTTCGGGGTATGGTTAGGAAATGGGTTTTTTTCCATTGTGGCTGCCAATGGATTTATCTTATTCCTTTCACCAAGATTTTCACATCTGACATTGATGTCTGCCAAGACACAATGACATAGAGCACACTCCATCTTCATCCATTTCTGCTGTCCATTGAATTTTGCAGCGAAAACATGAATTTCACATTAACTCTAACATTCATGGCAACTTCTTTGAAAACCAATAAAAATTTGAAAGCATGTTGACGGAATTTTCGCTTCACATTTGCATGACTTTGTGTCCTTGCATCCGATTGTGGTGGAATCTTTACGAAAAAAAACTCAAAAATCAATTTTAACTGATTGCTTCTACTCATAAGGTGGCTGAAAGCGTCCTAATCAGGAAGTTGCTCTAACTTCCGCCTTCACCTAGTATTTCATGCCAGTTAGTGGATATAGTCAGTCTCATCCTTTTACACGTACGAATAAGGGGTAAATTCAAAGATCGCCCAGCAGCGGAAGACCTTGAAAACTTTAGAATCACAGCCATTTGTTGCTGTTTATTGATTGGTACTTGAATGCATAATGCGGTGTTTATGCACTTTAGAATGTGCCAGCTTTTCACGCACCAGACGCATCCTTTAACTCAAGAATGCAAAAACTTCGTAGACGCCTCTTTATTTCATAAGATCTAATCTGCGTATTATACCATATCTATGTATCATTTGGATAAAGGAGAAAAGTATTGAGGACTTTGGGAATAAGTTGACTACGACGTGCATTTTTTCTAGTAATAGGCCGATCCACCTTTTTGCGCTAGCATAACGACCAAATTGCGACAAAGAGAAACGATTATATTGTCACGCTAGGTGAACACAGGCATCGTAAGTGCTCATGGGAAAGGGTAAGTAACTAAATAGCAGTGGTCATGATATGGATCAATTTTGTTATCCCATCGAGGATTCGACACTTCAGACGTCACACCTTTTCGAGAATGGGTCGCGAAATTTTAGAAATTACTATTAGGTTGTCAAGAAAATAATGTCCGTTTTTATTTGCTTGCTTTAACAAAGCAATCAGACTCAACCCAACAAAGGGTAAGGGGTACTGTTCGATAGAGCAAAGCAAGCTCTACAAGATGGCACTCATGTCTTTGTGCCATGCTCGATTCACGGAGAGTTCGAACTCAAAATCTAAAGATTTCCAAATGCCCAAAAAATCGAAAAAAATCAGATCTTCGTCCAAATAATTTCTACGAACCTCCCACTCGCTCACATCAATACTATCGATATCTGATATCCATATGTGCGATTGCCGTATTTTTTCCTTGACTAAAAACTGAGAAAACGAAAATTTCCCTGATTTTCTCAAAGCAATGCTGAGCCGTTTTTGCATATGTAGTTCTATACTACAAGCCTAGGTAAGTATAACTGTAGATTTTCAGCCCATTCCACGCGGTAGTTTTCGAAAAATAACGAATTCGGATTTTTTCGTTTCAGTTTCAGTGCTAAAATCGACATTCGCGAAAAGTACCGCTCGAAATAGGCTGAGAACCTACAATTATGCTTACCTAGGCTTGCAGTATAGAACCACATATGCAAAAACGGCTCAGCATTGCTTTGAGAAAATCAGGGAAATTTTCGTTTTCTCAGTTTCTAGTCAAGGAAAAAATACGGCAATCGCACATATGGATATCAGATATCGATAGTATTGATGTGAGCGAGTGGGAGGTTCGTAGAAATTATTTGGACGAAGATCTGATTTTTTTCGATTTTTTGGGCATTTGGAAATCTTTAGATTTTGAGTTCGAACTCTCCGTGGATCGAGCATGGCGCAAAGACATGAGTGCCATCTTGTAGAGCTTGCTTTGCTCTATCGAACAGTACTCCTTACCCTTTGTTGGGCTGAGTCTGGTTGCTTTGTTAAAGCAAGCAAATTAAAACAGACATTATTTTCTTGACAACCTAATATTTAGCAAACCAGGCTCCCCTCAGTTCTATGTCAACGATACTTTCGTAATCAGCATGCTCACTACCTCCTTGGCAAAATTCAATAAAATCGATATCGATCCTGCGCTTCACGATCTGATCAAATAGTGATCAGAACGATCTTTTCCGTCAGTTCACAGCGATATGATTTTTGTTTCAAGGAAGCATTTCTCAAGGTTTGGGTTTATCATTTTGGAAAACAAAATTGAATAGCTAAAGAACGTGTTCCTTTTTTTATTTTATTTTTATTTCCTTTAGATGATCAACCTAAATTTTTATTCTTGAGAATTGGTCGCTAAAATTTCGGTTCACTTACATAGTTTATAAAAATGTGCAAGTACTGACTTTATACTCCATAATTCAGGTACTTTTTGATATTAAAAAAGTTTAAGCTAGCTTTATGAAAAAGTCCCGAAAGTGAATCCTAAGTACGTTTCTGATCTGAGCCAATAAACCGGTCATGGTTCACCAAACAAAGAGTTTGAAAAATGTACGGAATGCACAACAGTCATTAACACATAAATTCATGTAAGACGCTGTATGTATTGATTTTTCGGTCGTTTCTTTGTTTCCACTTTTTTTGAAACTGAGGCAAGCCGACATGATGAATAACTCGCAAGGCTTCTTTATCTTGTTTTTCTTTCTCTAGTCTCTTTTCTTTCTCTCTGAACCTTCGTCTTTTCTTAAATTTCTGGCGTTGTTGTTTTTGTTTGATTATTGGGATTTTATTCACATGGTGCAATCGCAGAATTTTCTCTTTTTGTTGACTCGAGCGTTGTATAGTAAGAAAGTGGTTTTCAAGAGGGGCTCGGGCCCATATTGTGAGGGGCATAAGCACCTTGTTGTTACGGCGCGGGAATCTTATCACTTCCTTGTTTAGGGAACAAAAACGGCCTTGAGAACCCCCGCCGGCTACCTGTGAATGACCGCGAGCGCCTTTCTCCTTCACCAACGACGAAATCTTGCACTGCCATTTTCGCTCGCGAAAACATCCACCACACCCTCACTGCTAAGCAAACAGCTATGTTATTTTCCTGTGTGGGGTCCGATTTTTAGCTATTCTATTTCAGTACTAAGCGAGGGGGGGGGGGGTGGGGCGGGTGCCAGGCATCAAATATCGGGGCAAAGACGCATAGGAGGCAATAGGCCTGTCGCAGCCAGAGCCCTGTGTTGCAGCTCACAGCTCGTTTATCCCTGAAGCGTTGCACTTTTGCCGTCTGTGCGACCTTTTCAAGCCTTGTTTGATAGAAACATTTTTTTGCAGATATTATGGCCGCTTGCTTGACGTGTGATTGGTAGATGAGAGAATCGAATTTTTGCCGAATTTGAGCAGCAAGACACATTGGGACATTGGACTTTGCTGTCTTGACTTACTACATGTGAGTCTTTTTTCGATTTCTTGATTTTTTAACTTGCTTGCTCAATATACAATCTATATTTTCACTTTTTAAACTCCTCTGATGATTGAACTGAATTTACTTAAAATGATTTATTATTGCTTCAATTCAAATTCTGTTTTTCTTGTTCGTTTTCTTCTAACATCCCATGATGCTGACGCATGAGCACTCAAGGTTTTTCGTACCTGTCTCATCTCTATTTATTTTCGACAGTTTAGCTAGGAGATGTATATGATGTTCGTTTTTATTGGGGGAAAAGACAGAGTCATAGCATTTAGGATCAGAAAGTAAACAAACCTGTAACGTTAGGCTGAGAAGTTGTCTATATTTCACTTATTCCTAGCAACGCATGACTATTAATGTGAGACAAACTTTTTGGCGAAAGGCATTATACTCAACTTTTCATGCTTTTCTTTGCCCCACTTTCTTTTGTCGCAGAAACATGGAATAGTGAATGCAGAGTTTCGAGAACTTTCTCGGAATGTTCGATTATCTCGTTTCATAGCACAAGTACCCATTCAGTATAAAGACAAAGTGTTTCATGACTTTATGCTTCTAACTTATCTTTATGATCACTAAGAAATTTCAAACTTTTGTTTTTGAGGAAGGTATGTCATGTGGCACGTATAGATATGCATCTCATCTCTGGTTTTCGTCTCCAAAAGATGTCCACTATTTCAAGTTGTGAAGCAAGATTTCACATTTTCAAATTTTCCTCTATGATTTTGTGTAATTACCAGTAGATTTCATAATATTGACCTTACTTAGTGTGGAACCATCTTTCATGCAATACGAACGCGTTTTCTAATTTACAACTAATTTTTGTTCCACATATCTTAGTGTTTGCGTTTTTATTGCCTTTGAATTAACTTTTCGATTGATGCATCACATTCTCACGTTGCCGAGACGTGTCTACTAATCATTGTCTTCTGACGTGAATATTCCATTAACTTTTCATATATCCGTGCGTGTTTGATCTGTGCATCGATTCAAACCATAAGCATTTCTGCATTTTCGAGTTCACGCACTTGAGTGACGAGCTTTTTTCGCACGGGGATTCCGGTTCTCTTTGCCTTCTTTCGCGCGTACAAAGTACACGAGGAACTACGTTTTGGGCGAAAATTCAGTTGGTTTGAGAGCTCTAGTAGAAGATTAATTAGTGTTTTTTCCATCAGAAGCTTATTCTCAGGTCCACATCGTCAAACCTTTTTCCTCTACTGTGTGTAAGCTTGAGGATCCTTGTACGACATCTCATAAACTATTTCTTTCTTAAATTCCGTCTAGCCGTACAGAACTGCATCTGTCTTTTCCTAGCGGGGAACAGCTGTTTGCGAATGACGTTTTCTCATGTTTCCCTCATGCACTCTCTGTCAATTCTCTCGTGCTCATTATCGAACCATTTAGCGGGCACTGCTATCCGGTAATTCGAGATTAATTAAGTTTTCTCGCTATAAAATGTGATAGCAAATTTGCCTACCAGAAAATGTTAGATTTCTGCGATTTGATTTATCTCTTTGCATTTGTGAAAGCTCATGATTATCTCCGTCAAATCTTGATCTCATGTTTGCTTTGGTATTTTGATGACAGCTTCTGTTTGTCAGCTGTACACAACAGAGTGTCTGCTACGTTTCGGTCTGTTGACACAAACTGATCAGCTAGTGGTTTGTTGTATTCTTCACGTCTACCATCATGCGACTCTGCTTCTATCTCTGCCGGGGTTTTCTGGAGCGTTAAAATAGATTCTTATGCTATTTTTCAGGCAATTGTAACAGTTTTGTAGGTCATCATCAATCGCCGAACATGATGTAGTTCTGCTCATTTAAAACTTTTGAATTCCGACATCGGGAAGCTGTCATCATTTTTTGTCAGCATTCATCTACGCATCACTGAATACTCGCAAATGTATCGCAAAAACCTACTTTAGTGCAAGTTATGTCTCTTCATAAATGAGTGGTTTCTTTAGCTCACAAATGAATGGGAAACAAATAGACATCGATGAGCGTTATGAGAATCCAGCTCCCTACACTGAAGAGGTATGCTTATATATACTTTTTCAAAAGTTTCGCGAAGTGGTGCTTTGGTCTGGTTGTGTTCTATAGTGGAAATTTTCACATTTTGCTCTATTTTTTTAGGATGACGAAGACTACTCGACAGATGATGAGATCCAGTATTGTGACTGCATCGCATCTGCGTTGGCTCAGTCTCTTCCGGGTATGCCAGGAAAGAAAGGTAGATTAATCTCACTATTTCACTCTTTTTTGCTTCTTTTCCTGTCTAATTCTTTCATTTTTGTCAAGTCCCATACATAATTCTGATGTTTGCTATTTTTCCTTTGTGCTACGCCATGGTTACTGTATTCCACGTTTTACGATGTTCTTTTTCCTCTTTCTTTTATGGCTTTTCACCGCGCATAGCGTGCAATTATGCTGAAAGAAAGAAAAACATCATGATTCATGGAAAGATGGAAAAAATCAGCTGCCATCACGAATAATGACAGTTGAATGTTGTTCTTTCATGTTGAGAATGTTTATTTGTGTTTTTTGAGAATCCTCTAATCCTCATTCTTTCAAGTAAATAAGCAGTAAATGGGTGTTTATCACGATAGCCTTTTCGTTCATGGTGGAAGAACGCTAGGAATCTGTGATGAATGGTCGAATGAAAATTACCATTCGCCACGTGGTTCCTTAGACTTGCAGTTTCATCGTACTATGTGTGTTTGAGTGTTTGAGTGATTGAGTGCTTTATGTATGGGGAAGATGAAACCTCATGGTCGTTTTCTCAGTCACCTGTCGATAGGCGATCAGAAGAGTCGGTTGCTAAGAAGTTACACAACCAGCTGTACACATGGCACTGCATTTTTGCTGGAAGTTTTTATGCTTTTCTGCTGATTGAATCACTTTGTCAACTGAAATGTATTATGTAAGTGCAAGTGCCATGTAATCTTTTCATGACTTTTTTGAGCCCGAGTTGACTTCATGAGTGTGCATGCACGACATGCTGCTAAGGAAAGGAAGTTGCTGTCCATTTTTTTGCTTACTGATCGATATGCAGAAATTGTGGGCAGTTAAGATTTCAAGGCTACCTTGAAAACAAGAGTTTTTTTTTGGCATATTTGAATGTAGGGTTCGCACTGTATCTTCGAAGTTGAGGGGTTCCAGCTTTCGAGCTTTGTTTTCCCTGCTTTTAAAAAAATTTGATCTAATGTCGTTGTTGTAGGTATCATCCCGTACGATGCTATCTTTGACACGCAAGCTCAAGCTCGTCGCCGGGGTTACTGGATACCGGGTATTCCTGTAAACGCCAAGATTGTAAGCGTTGAGAGGAACACTAGAGATCGGCGAATCCATTTCATTAATACCCTTCTGTAAGTTTCTGCTTTTTACTGGTTGTCTTGCCCACATTTCAGAAATTCCGGTTCTTTGCAGATATACAATACAGCTGGAACATGGACAGTTCAAATGGACTGTGGTCAGAAACTATAAAGACTTTACTTTGCTCAATAATAGGCTCAGAGCTCATCGAGCTGCACAGCAACTCCTTGCTCCAGTACGCAGGTAAGACTCCAAACTCTAGTCATGTCAAGTTTCTATTCCTAAGTGTTTTTTATGTTTGACAGTTGCTTTTTATCCTAATTGCCCATGCAATATCTTACCCATGCCTTCTTACCTGTCTTCCGAGTTCTAATCCTTCTGGGTTTTCCTGCACCCTAAGCTTACAGATTTCGTCAACGTCATCAAGTGCGCCAGTAAGTTTTTTGATGTAGTACGTCACTGTCGTATTGTCCGTATGAGATGAATGTCTTCTCTATGGGTTGCTGGCGCTCAGCTACCAAATTGCTCTGCTAAACTGCTATTTCCAATAACTTCCTGATCTTTCTTGATAGCATAGCATGAAAGGCCATTTGACTGCTGTTTCCTCATAGAATCTTTGCAGAGCTACAGAACGGGTGGATACAGTACTTGAGTCATTCGGTATCGACGTGATTCCCGATCATAAGGAAAGCTGTGTATATCATCGTCCACCATCTAGACGAAAATCCAGAGTCAGTTGATCCGTTCGCTTTACGCATTTGCGTCAAGCATGGAGAGTAGTGCCATCCTTGTCAGTTTATAGTTGATCAGTAGTTCTTTTCCAGCTGCACACACTGTCGCGAGATAATGACGCATTTGAAATTAAGAAAGTAGCTCCCATAGCGTCATCGGAGAACACCACCACGTCACCTACTTCACCGTCATCTGAAGAAGCAGTTCTGAAAATGCAAGAAGCAGTGCAGTGTAAGTGTTGTCTTACTTCATTTGCTTTTTTTGCATTTGAATTTTTCACTGTTTTCAAAGAAACGCGCTTGCTTTTTCGCACTCACGTACTTTGTAAAGTCAATCACCATATTTTCTATCCTGTCGGCATGAATCTAACTACTTTCCTCTGTTTCTCTATTTGAAAATGATTAAGGAGAGTTACATCATCATCACAAAATCACAAAAGCGTCAAAATGCTGCGTAACAGGTGGACCTTATTTTTATAGAAAGTAACTTGCTTCAGCTGGTATCCTGCAAGATGACGACGGAACAACTTCACCTTCAGAAACGAAAAAGAGGAGGCTTCGAACTCGCAAAAAGCACGGACTTCCTCGTTTCCCACTCATGCCTGATTCTATGGTGACAAATCTGGAATTGAGAAAGGTTTGCCGATTTCTTCTTGTATCATTTTGTTGTATCTCTTTGCAACTGATACAAAATCCAGGATCAACTGGAACACTGGCTGCAAATGTTGCTGCATATCCCCATTAATAGGAATCATCATGAAACAGTGAGCTTATTTTTATCTCCGTCTCTTGTAATCTGGTAGGTTGCCCCTAATTTTAGGCTGAGTTTCTCGAAGTTTCTCGGTTTTCATTCGTAAATGAACTAGGTGGCAAGCATACTGAAGGTTTTGTCAAAAAGCGACCGGGTGGTGCTCGAGTGTTTCTAGGATGTAAGCAATTTTGTGTGCGATACCTTGTGCCTTGGAGTAAACGGTGAGATGATCGTCTTACGTTTGCTTTCTTTCGTTTATTATATGCCTCCTTTTTTCCAGATGGCTTATGGTGAGAGATTCGTTTGTAGCCTACATGGATCACAGGACAGAGCAGATCCGTTTGGTATTGTTGATGGATAGAGACTTCAAGGTAAAATCAATCTTCTACTTATATTGTTTGCTTGTTTTTCTTCTGAGTACTGTTGATATACTGAACTTGCTTCAGGTATTAGCTGGTGGTAAGGAAGCAGATGGAATACCAACAGGTCTCATCATTATCAATACGCAACAGTAAGTTTTACTTCTCATAATAGAATTAGAGCACGTAGGAGATATCTGATGCGTTAAATAGAACCGTTTTTTACTAATGCATCATAGCGTTCTTCCTTCATGGCTATAAATTGCAATCGAACAATTTTTTCTCTACTGAAACTCTTTTGAAAGTGTGATGTGATCTATTTTTGCCTTACTTGGATGCATTGCCTTCGTAGGTTATTTGATATCTACACTCTTCAGCGAGCTCCATCTGAAATGTCGAAGGATAGAGGACACGGCTCGATGGAAAGCTATAATCGAACGATCTATGAATGGAATAGGAAGTATATGGATTCAACCACATCGGTTTAGCTCATCTTTTCCAGTACGGGAGAACTGCTATGGAAAATGGTAAGCTCATTCTCAGCGTTACCGGTCCTTTTTTTAAAATATGGTAGTCCTTAGGTTTGTTGACGCTAGAACCTATATGGCGCATGCTGCTGACATGATGGAGCTAGCCAGAGAGGAGATCTACATAGCTGGATGGTGGCTGAGCCCTGAGGTAGCGATTTGATACCTTTGAAGCTTTATTTGCATTCGAATTCAGATTTATATGAAACGGCCAGCACTAGAAGGCAATTATTGGAGGTTGGATGAAATCTTGAAACGAAAGGCTAATCAAGGGGTACGGATTTTCATACTTATGTACAAAGAAATGGAAATGGCCTTGGGTTTGAATAGTATATACAGTAAGCGAACTCTGCAAGCGCTTCATCCCAACGTCAAGGTGAGTATCTTCTTCGGGCTCTGTTTTGGAGAAATTAACCGAGTGATGGCCTAGGTGTTGCGTCATCCTGACCACTATCCCGCGACGGGAACGTTTTTCTGGGCACATCATGAGAAGCTGGTAATTATCGACCAGTTAATAGCTTTTGTTGGAGGAGTTGATCTTTGCTTTGGACGATGGGACGACAACCAACATCTGTTGACCGATCTTGGATCAGTTCAGTTCGGACAACAGCATGTTTTAGCACAAGATATCAATGTGGTAAGCTCTACGTTGAAATTCTATGCCTTTTTTGAATCTGTTGTGGAGCTCTTTGCAAATATGAGAAATATTTTTCTTGCTCTTCAAGCAGACTGTTAAAAATGCTTTACTCATTGGGGGAGGGGGGGGGCCTTCCTTCCGTTTTTTCATCTCTGTTTACTACAGTTTTTCTAAGCTTCTGCGATTTCATTTTTAAAAAAATCAAATTCGAGATGCCAGTGAAATGCTCATTTGTTTCAATTGATCTACAAAAAATGAAGGATAGCATGATTTTCATTCAGGCGAGCGGCTTGCGAGCGTTGATCAGTGCCCCGCTGACATTATCACCTCTCGGTTTGGAAGAGAATGAGAATGTTGTACCTAGAGAAGAAAATAGTCTGAAGAAAATTGAAAAGATTGACGAAAGGCCAGAGGGAGGATTAGAACTTCCGCAGAAGGAAGGTATATCAGGTAAGATATCGTATATCGTTTATTTTTTATCTTATTTTTTGTTCACTTTCGTTTTTTTTTTCAGTTGCCATGTCATTTCCTTTTTCCCTTTTTTAAATGTATGTTAATGATTTTTCTGTGGCTCGTACACTCTCAGAAACAATGCTTACTCTGCGATTTCTCAGTATTACTGTTCTTGTATCGTTTCATCAATAGGTTTATGAATAAGTTATGTATGTATTTCCAGATAATCCTGATAAAAACGGAAAGGAACATCGTCGTGTGACAAAAATTGCCATTATTGGGGAAGAGGTCAATTATTCAGACTTTGCGGATAATGCCGGTTCGGATGGGGAGGTTCGCGCAGTTTGCGCACATGCGGATATTTTCGTGTTGCTTGGGATATTTTTTCCTGTTTCCTTTTCCTATTTTCGTACATACCTGGGGATGTTTTTTTATATGTGAATGGGGTATCAGTTTAGAGCGATGTGACGTCGATTCTGTGCTTTCTTTCCTGTCTCCCACTGGCATTATACCTGTGTTGCAGTAGTTACACCTTTATGTTCTTGTCACCTTTTTGGTTCATAATGTGGTTTTATAGGTGCTTGCTGATGTGGATACGGGCGGAGTTATGCTGAAGGTTAGCAAAAAAGGTGAGTTATCTTTTTCCTGGGTTGTGTTGCCAAGTAGAGTTGCACTCAGAAGTTTCGAGTTTGACTTTTGTGGCTCTCAGAGGTTCGGGGTTTGAAATTTGTGGCTTGGACCATATTTATCCACTTCATACATTGGTAGAAACGACAAATCTGTGATGCCGCGATTTATTTTGAAGCGCATGAGGTGGATCGACAAATCTGTAATGCCGTGATTTATTTTGAAGCGCATGAGATGGATAAGTATGAAATGTGTATATCTTGTTTAAAGGCAGCGTCCAGGCAGATCTGGACCTATGGGGATTTTACGTGGAAAGTACTTTTGGGGCCCTAACTAAGGCACTGCCCAAGCGGCAGCTCAAGTAGTGCTCTAACGGCTGAGATATTCCCCTCGAAACTGGCTCCCGCGATCGTATTTCACATGGATTCATGGCGCAAAGCGTGGATCCTGGCGCGAAACTGCCACGAATCCATGTGAATACGATCGCGGGGTCCAGAATTGAGGGAAATACCTCAGCCGTTAGAACATTACCTGCGCTGCCGCTTGGGGCCTTAGTTAGGGCCCCAAAAGTACTTTCCACGTAAAGTCCCCATAGGTCCAGATCTGCCTGGACGCTGCCTTTAATTTTCTGAGTTCATATTTTGCATCTCTGTTCATTCGTTGCATGACCTTTTGATCTTTTTATTGCAGGAACTCGTTCTGTCTCTGCGGATTCTCCTCGGAGGTCTCCATCTTATGCCAGCGATATGCCTTCATCTTCGCCGAGGCCTTCTCCTTCCCCGACGGGTACCGGCTCTAGATTAGCTGCAGTTGCTGGAAAAAAGCCAAGTTTCCTAACTGTGGTTGAAGATGCAAAAGGGAAAAAGGTTTGTGCTCTTTCTTCTGGACTTGTCTTTGACACTTATGTGCATAAAATAGGAAGTGTTTTTCAGCATGTTCGTAGAGCTGCATCATCCGCTACTCGTAAAGTTCCACTCGAGATGCTCGATAAAGCGGGACCGGCACCATCTATGTTCGAGAAAGCGACAAAGTTGGGGCTGGATTATCAGACAGCTGCTGAAAAATACAAGGAGTACGTTGAGAGTGGAGCTGTGCAGAAGGTGGCCTTTTTTCGTTTTGGTTCTAAATGCTTGACTTCAAATTACAAATTAGGAGAAGCATCGCTCGCAAACACCGCCCATGAAGAGGAAAGAAAGCAGGTTGACACGAGCTGTAGAGAACTGGAGAAGTAATCGAGCAAAACGGAAGTGGAAACAGGTACTTCCTATAGTGCTTATTTGTTTGAGCGTTATTCTTCTTTTTGCCATTCTGTATGATGCTTTTTGCCGAATTCGGTTGCAGTTTTGCTTACCGTACAATAGCGAAATGTGTTGCATCGTCTGCTCGTACCTATACGATGCAACTATCGCTGGTGTATCAATTAGGTATCGCGAAGGTGGAGAAGAGCCCCTCTATGTTTTTATCGATGGAGATGAATCCAATTTCCATTGATCATTTCTTTTGAAAAGAACCCGTCCTTCAACAGCGAATAGAGATTGTTTGTGCTCAAGTGTGCTCAAACTGTCCTGGCTTTGCATGCCTACATTCTCAAATAAAGTGAATCAAGCTTCATTCAATGAAATGAGCTTTATAAAGTGCGGTTCATAATTATACGAACACCCCAAATTTTGAAAGTTTTTGGACTTTTTGGAAGAAACTCAAAAAGCCGTTGGTACCACGCGATAGAGCACGGCCGAAAACGGTATACGATCCACAAGAATGGAAATCGATATCAATCTGAGGAGTGTTTTTGCGCCTAATGCGAATTTTTAGCGGTTCATAATTATACGAACACCTCAAACAAAGGTCCATTTTTCATTCAAGATTGCAATCCTTCGAGTCCAAGCTTTTTGTAGAGCTACAGTAACAAAGTCTGACATATCTGCCACACACTGCACCCAGTGCAACTCAAAAAGAGGATCGTTACTTTTTTCAGATGGCTCTAAATGCTTTTGGAGTGATTGCGCTCCAAAAACATACGTTTTCCTGTGATTTGCGCACTCTAACTAGCTTGTACCAAGGCTATGAAATAAAATAAGCTCTTTCGATAGATATTTTGTTTGACGCTTGGAAAATCTATGCGTTTTCGTACCGTTTTTCAACCAAGTTTCAACCTTACCCTAGAGTCAGCACGATTTCGAGCCTCAAAACTCAGCTTCGGAAGCCCTACAATGAAGTAAGCAGATGGTTTGTAGAAGTTCACAAGACTATGTATTTGGCTAGAAAAAAAATCAGCAGCGTTGAGCGCTTGTTTTGGCCACGCAGACGTCATTTCGCCAAAACCACTGGTTTTACTATTGCAATCACAACTTTATTTGGTTTTTTGCTCCATAGCTTCGAGAACAGTTCTACAAAAAACGCAAAAACATTGGCACGGATAAATCATCATGCAAGGAATGCAGCTGCTTCATATCAAATGTTTGCGCAAGAGAGAAGCTGAGTTTTGAGGCTCGAAATCGTGCTAACTCTAGGGTAAGGTTGGAACTTGGTTGAAAAACGGCACGAAAACGCATAGATTTTCCAAGCGTCAAACAAAATATCTATCGAAAGAGCTTATTTTATCTCATAGCCTTGGTACAAGCTAATTAGGGTGCATAAACCACAGAAGAACGTATGTTTTTGGAGCGCAGTCACTCCAAAAGCATTTAGAGCCATTTGAAAAAAGTAACGATCCTCTTTTTGAGCTGCACTGGGTGCAGTGTGTAGCAGATATGTCAGACTTTGTTACTGTAACTCTACAAAAAATTTGGATTCGAAAGATTGCAATCTTGAATGAAAAATGGACCCTTGTTTGAGGTGTCCGTATAATTATGAACCGCTAAAAATTCGCATTATGCGCAAAAACACTTGTAAGATTGACATCGATTTCCATTCTTGTGGACCGTATACCGTTTTCGGCTGTGCTCTATCGCGTGGTACCAACGGCTTTTTGAGTTTCTTCCAGAAAGTCCAAAAACTTTCAAAATTTAGGGTGTTCGTATAATTATGAACCGCACTTTAGGTGCTGGATTCTGATGAAGTCATGGCAGGCTACGAACTAGACTTCCTTCGCCTGAAAGAGATGGACACAGAAGATAAAGATACTGTAGATGGCGGTTTCAAGTTATGGATAGGCAAAGACTACGTCAACTACGTTCGCAAGGATTTCATTGATGTCGATTTACCCTTCCACGGTAAGTCCACTCTATTAGGCTTATTGCGTTTTTTATTGTTGTGCAACATAGACTTCATTGACCGAGGAACAACTCCACGAATGCCCTGGCACGACATTCATTCTGTAACCTTTGGCGATGCAGCTAGGGATGTTGCCAGACATTTTATACAGCGGTGGAATGCAACGAAAACGGAGAAGTGTAAGGTAGGCAAAACAGTTATTTCTTCATTCCTTTCTACTAGCGTTATTCCAGGATGACACTAATTACCCTTATCTGCTCCCGAAGAGCCATGAGAACCTTAAAGTACCACGAGTGTTTAGAAACCCTGACTTCAGCTATAACGTGAATATTCAGGTGTGTTCAGGCAACCTTTTCGTTCAAATTTATTTTACTCTTCATCTTTACCGTTTGTATTTCTTCTTCTTTTTCTCATGTGCTGTTGCGTTTTCAGGTGCTACGGTCCTTATCAAATTGGTCTGGTTTGATAAACCAAACTGAAGATTCTATACAAATGGCATATCTTTCTCTTATTGCTAATTCTAAGGTACGGCTTGTCCCAGCTTTTCGATTGATTTTGTCATGTAAAAACACTTTCTTGACATTTTAGCATTATATCTACATTGAAAATCAGTTTTTTGTCTCAATGGTTGATTCAAACGACGTGCTCAACGAAATCTGTAAGGTGATCTGCAATCGTGTTAAACGGGCGTATAAGTAAGTGTGTTAGGTAGATATATAAGTTCCTGTGCAACATTTTTTTTATATAACTTTGCAGGGATAAAGAACCCTTCAAGGTGTATATTTTGCTCCCGCTCATGCCTGGTTTCGAAGGAAATGTTGGTGCTCCGGGTGGTTCTGCTCTACAAGCAGTTTTACATTGGACATATCGGTCGCTCAGTCGTGGACCAAATTCCCTATTTGAACAATTGAAATCGGTTGGTTTGAGACATATTTAGTCAATATAAGAAGCTTTTAAGAAAGTAAGTGTAGAATAATTCTGAGTTGCGGTGTTGAAAATGATGTCATTGACGAAAATGTTACAGTTTGCTAATTGGCATAAATCTATACTTTGTGAAATCCCGTTTTTATCTGGTAGCTTTTGTGGAACTAAGTATTTCTTTTGACAAATCAAACCTGCATCACTTATGCATTTGATATGCAAGATTTATGCTTTTCAGGTCGTTCCCAACCCGCATGAGTACATCTCTGTTTGTTCATTACGGACTTACGATATGCTTTGTGGAAAATTGGTGAGTCATTCATTTTTACAGGGATTTTACCACACAAAACCAAGATTTTATTGCAATATGACAACTCAGATGTCTGAACTCATCTATATCCATTGCAAACTGCTTATCGTTGATGACGAGCATGTAATCATCGGGTCCGCTAACATTAATGATCGGTCTCAGGTTGGTATTGCTTTCAGCGCTCATTTGTCACTCTCTTCGCTTCTCCAGAAACCATGTTAGATATGAGAAACTGGCTTTTGCTCACTATAGCTGAAGAATTTTGTTTAAAATGGCTTGCTCTAGAATTTCCTTCTTTCTCAAGAATTTCAGAATTATTAGAGTTTTGACATGCTACTCCCAAATTCTAGGTGGGTAACCGAGATTCTGAAGTGTGCCTCTTATTTACGGATACTCAAAAAGAGAAATCAGTGATGAATGGACGACCATACGAAGCGGGAAAGTTCGCAAAATCCTTGCGACTGCAGTGCATGAAAGTGAGGATTGATTCTTTATATGTGTTTTTATTAGGTTGAAAGAGATGAATAGCTGATACATTTAATTTAGGAACACTTGGGCCTCCTTCCTGACTCTCGAAGGCCTGCGAAGTTCAAGTATGATGTCTCATGCGATGATCCAGTTTCCGAATCATTCTTTGTGGATGTCTGGCAGAAGACTGCACACTCTAATATGAACATATATGAAGAGGTGAATAGTTTAAACCGCAAAGTATTGGTTTTTCTTGCAACTACACGTACAGGTATTCCGCGCGTATCCTACTGATAATGTGGAAACTTTCGAAGAGTTCGAGAAGTGGACAACTCAGATGCCATTGGCGGAATATTCGCCACAACAAGCTCAGGAGAAACTTAGGGATCTAAATGGTGACTTTTACAGGATTTACTCGTTATACCATCTGTATTTTTGAATTATTTATCTTGGCTTTCATTTTTTGTTGTTTTTGCTTTATTTTTTGAATCGATGAACATACAGCCAAGTAAATACCAAGTCACCGACGCAAGCAATAGTAAGACTGCCTTGGTTGCGCACGATTTTAGAATTTCTGAGCAGTTCAGAGATGTATAAGAGGCCTTCACGCTTTTAGAGTGGTCATAACGCGTATACCTGCGTCGGTGGCTTATTTACGCTTTTTCATGTTATAATTCTATTTCTTATTTCACCGGCATATTTTTTCGTTTTGAAAAGCAGTTTTTCTCTTTTTACTTATTTCCTTTTTTTGATAATCATAGTCATTTGCCGATTGTTTACTTTCAGGAGTTTTGGTAGAATTCCCGCTCAATTTCCTCTGCAAAGCAAATTTAACGCCAGGATACACTTCAAAAGAGGGTCTCGTACCGAGTGCAGTCTTTACCTGATGAGCTTCTTTGCCCTATGCTAGGTCGCTACCTCTTAGTATCTGTACATTTTTTGTATCAGTTGATCTTTACTTCTTTTGCATCACCAATTTCATGCTTCAAGCTTTGCTGCACCGTACCCTTGTACTCACTGTTGTTGACACCTTCGTGTAATCTCTACAGTATTCGTGCCAAAGTATTGATTTTAAAACGATTTTCTGTTTTATGTCGCCTTGCATCACTGCACCAATATGGTTTGCACTTTATAATCTAATTTATTTGTATATCCCAGATGTTTCCTACTGCCACTACTTTCGAATTTTATTCGATCAACTTTTCACATATTCTATTTTGGTGCTTCCAGTCCCACCCACTACGGCCTATAGAGTGGTTGAGATCGAAAACACGCATGACTTATCGTTTTTGCTTTCATATTGAAATGTCAAAAATTGTGATTTAGCAGCTTATTCCGGTGTATAGAAATGATTGTGAATGTTTCTATATAGTTAGCGAGGATTTGTTTTATATCGAACATGTGTCAGCTGCTCCATTCGACTTTACAGAATAAAATATATGCTTTATCACTGACTTCTGCAGAATAACAGCGTCTTTCATTGGATGAAATTACATAAATAAGAAGCATTGGCAAAACACATCTGTAGTGCGTGACTAACGCCACGCCCCTTTATTATCATAAAAAATTTTCGGCACGCCCCCCCCCCCTCCGCCACTGCTTAACGTGATTTTTTTAGACTTTTGTAGAATTTTGAAGTAAAAAATTCTGTAACTGTTGCTGCCTCAATTGATTGTTTCTGTTTTATTTGCTACTAGCTGGCTTACCCGGCTCCGCCGTATGTTCCGAATAGAAAATTCCATTTCTTAACCGATCCGGACCAAACTTGGCACACATACACTTCGGGCCCCGGCGGGCGTCACAGTCCACTTTTCGTTATCGATCGATGTCGATTTTATCGATTTTTTGCAAAATTTGAGCTAGGGGGCTTAAATTTGGCAGAGGGGTGTAATCGAGCATGCTGATCACCCCCGTGGGGGTGATCAGCATGCTCGATTACCCCCCTGTGCCAACTCCCAGCCCCGTAGCTCAAATTTTGCAAAAAATCGATAAAATCGATATCGATCGATGACGAAAAGTAGCCTATGACACCCGCCGGGGCCCGAAGTGTATGTGTGCCAAGTTTGGTCCCGATCGGTTCAGAAATGGAATTTTCTATTCGGAACATACGTACAGACAGACAGACAGACATACAGACAGACAAACAGACATTCAGCTTTATATATAAGAAGATGAAGTATTTAACTTGCTTTTGTTTTTTATAAGTGGTCGTGTAATGGTGGGCAAATACAACATATATATATTTTTTTACAAAATGCGAGTTAAGAAATTCAAGAATCACCAAACTGCTTTATCAAACCATAATTTTGTTGAGATTTCATGTGTGGTCGTTTCTTTCCGAAATCACTTAGATATAATTTTTATTATGCGAAGTATAGACAACTCAGATAAATTAATAACTTAATACTAAATATTACTAAAAATTCTGAATCTGATTCAGACTACGATGTTCAAGCTTTGCTTAGATATTACGGTAAGGGAAAAGTCTCCTGTAGATGCGAGAGAGATCAGGCTTCAGTCCGAAATTCGGTTCCTTCTCGACCAAAGGTATCTCTGTCTTGTCTTCAGTAGAAGCTTTCTGAAAAAAAAAAAGATTAAGAAAACGAGTTTGAAGAAACCTATGTCTAAAGGATTTGTATGCGCGCGAAAAAATCCCACGGAAATAAAAGATACAAGAGTTTGAGTAAGAGCGGTAAATCGAGCGGAATCTTATATTCTGGAACTGAAAAAAATGGAAATGCCTTGCCTCTGTTGTTGAACTCTCAGATTTGGGTTTAGTAGAGGTTCTTGCTCTCGCAGGCGTAGTTATCGGTGACTCTGAAAAGTGCATAATCACGCAAATCTACAGACTGGCAATAATCCCCAAAACTTACCTGTGGTACTGCTCGGGGACGGTTCCACCACTGGGGTGCTGACAAGAGGAGAAATCTCCTCGATTTCTTTCTCCATTTTTGTTGTTTTGGTGGTGTGCTTGGCTTTTTCTGTGGTCGTAGTAGTTACTTCGGGTACTGTAGAGCTTGCGGTGCTGCTTGGCGCAGTGCCAAATTCTATCGTAAACTCGGGCTCGACTTCTACAGCAGGAATTGTAGTTCTATCCAGGACCTCTTCAAGTATGCTGAGATCATCATACTGTGCTGTAACGGTGGCGCAGAATATTGCGAATAGATAGACACAAGCAGTTTGCATCAATAGTTTAGGAAGAATTTTCAGGAAAAATCCAGAAATTCGACCATTTTATAGTACAGGCCCGCGCAAACCACGCCCCGGTCCTGTTGGACACATGCGATTTCTTTGCAGATGCTGAGAATTAGCACACTATTGACAGGCATTGTTTGCTTAAGCGGTGTCGCTACATTCGCCTGCAAACTCGAACAATTGCGGAGATCGGGTTGTTTTGTGTGCTCAGACACACATTGCCGACCCCCCAGGAGCGTCTATGTTTGTGTGCTCGAGAGAGCACACCTTAGGCAGGTGTGGTCAAGACTGGTCACTCGGGCATTTATTGTCCGGATAAAAAGCAAAGAGAGCAGAAAACTATTTGACCAATGGTTTGAAACACTAAAGACCATAAGGTGGGGGAAAATAATAATAGCAGATAATTCACGGAGTCACTTCCCTTATTTATAGTTGCTGGTCAATATTTGATCTCTACTTTTCTTTCTTCGTCGCACTGTTCATGTCGTGATTCTGTTTTGTGCGGAGAAAAATTTGTTTCCCTTGTGTGGACCACCATTATTCGTTCATTTCATGGCTTGTAGATATTTGAAACCTCTGCAAGCTTTTTCCCTCAGAGATTTAGAGTGGTTTCTGCTGCAAACTTCACCTCTCTTCTCAGTTTAGCTCGTGCTGTGCATTTTTATTCCTCAACACCTTATATGATATTTCTTAAAATTTCAAGTATTCGAGTTTTTAAAATGTTCGCATTCGATTATTCTAGTCGCTTGCTTGAATTTACTCGATTTGGTCCAAAGTATGATTGAAAACGTGGTCATGATTCTGTTGCTCTGGCTGTTAGCTTTATTAATCACATTTTTTCACAGTATCTATTTCTTATTTTTCCCCTGAAAGATGCAGTCTCTTTTCACAGAATTTCCGGTGAAGTTCCTTTGGATTTTTTTATCATTATCAACCAAAATACGAAAGTTCGTCCACTTGTGAGTTTGCATCCATACAACTGAACTTTTGCCAATACTTTGTGTGAAGTCTAAATCGGCATCGAAAACGAAAAGACCCAACCAAATAATGTTTTATAAAGACGGATTGCAATAATATTCATGAAATGTACAAAATGCATTGCAAGATGATATGGACTTTGCTGGAAATACATAATTCTTTTCTCTTGCATCTAGAATAGCAAAACAAAATGACTAGCAACAATTAACACAAGCGCATGATTAACGACGACCATATGATATAGATAACACTTTGGAAGAGAATATCAAACAATCACAACTGTCAAAAGAGAATAACAGAAACCGTAGACGTTGTAAGCAGTTATTTAGGAAGAGCGAAAGAACTGTTGAGCAATGTCAGGCATTTAGTCATTTGAGTCACAGTGTGGGGGGTGGATCAGCTTGAAACAGGAAACGAGGGTTACTCATTCGTCGAAGTCTGTCCATCAGCGGTGTGGCCGCGCTCCGTGGCGTAATATCTCTGGCTGAGATTGTACCAGCAGCCTTAAAAGCACATTTTTGAAAGTTGCGGACGAAAAGAGTGATTAAAGGTATGTTTTTCGAACAGTGAAGGCTGCTTAAGAATGCCAAAAAGCAAAAGTGGACGGTGGCAGTGGGTGAATTTCGTGCAGCTCCCGCTACTCGAAGACGCCCACTTTTGGGTTTTGCTTCATTTTCACCAGTTTTTGGTGGAAGGAAGGATAGAATTGCAATTTCTTAGAGAATTAGTGTTAAAGGCATCTTGACGGCGGACTGGCTTGCAAATGCAGGTAAAAACGGGAATGGGCGTGGCAGTGGGCGGAGTTAGGCAAGCTCTGTTCACTCAGCCAACCAACACGCCTCCTTTTTGATTTTGCTTCCTTTTGTTTTCTCCGATTTGTGACGGATGGAAAACTCGGGAAAAAAAAGAGAAACAGAGTTTCTAAAGAAATTAGTGTGGAACATCTTGACGGAAAACTTGCTTGGAAATTGTTTATATCGAAAAATAGCGTGGGCGGACATGGGCATTTTGTCTAGCTCCGCCCACCTCCACTACGATTTTCCCTCTTTACTTCTTTGTTCTCTCCAAGTTTCGAACATTGGTAAACATCTAACCAACTTATCATTTGCAGGTAAATTTTTTGGTTTTCCCTATTTTCTTCAACGTAAGCTCCCCGTAATCTCCTACCTGTATAAGACGGAGCCGTTTGCGATAGTTGTTGGCTCTTACATGATCGTTGAGAATTTGCTGAACATATGACGATGGGAACCACCCAGATTGTCCATCATTAACCTTCTCACCGAAGAACCAACCTGAAGAAAGTTTCATTAAATTTCTTATTGTAGGTAATCTAAGCCTTTTATTTGCTTCTTTCTCAACTGCTCAAGTAAAATTTATTACAGTAAATTGACTTATTTTTCCACTCACCATCGGGCATTTTTCTCAAAATATTGACCATGTCTCCAACTTCCAACGATAATTCATCATCTTGGTTTTTGTTGTATGTATGAACAGCAACAGCTTGAGGGCAATCCCATTCAGCATAAATTTTTTCCTCCGGGTTTGTGGACTGAAAACGAACAAATTTTTTGATAATCTTATTGATTTGAAAAAAGCGCTCACTATAGGCGGTCGCAAAGCGCTAAGCCATCGTTCTCTATCTGTTTCCGATTCAGCGTTGAGGAGAAGTTCAGTTTGTCTTCCGCGAGCATTTCGCATAAATACACAAAGGAACAGATGTGGACGAGCTGCTAGTGCTGGCAATGTTCCATTACACATCTGAACGCAAAAATACGGTAAACCAATTAGACGACAGTTTTTTTCGACTTGTTTTTGAAAAATCTTGGCTTTCAATATGTCTTATTTTAATCTATCAAACGACATCTTACGTGGAAAAATCCAGCTTATTTCCTTCACCTTCTAGCTATACAAATCTTTTTTCATTTCCAAAAACTCATAGAGAGTGTACTAACCCTGCTAGGATCAACTTCCAACGGCTGCACGTCGATATATCGTCGAGCCGCATAGTCTTTGCATTCATAAGTCCCATTTCTGAATAAATTACATTCAACATTATACATTATTGGCAAATCTAAGACTTACAGCTTCTTCTTCGTTACTAAAATTATGTCAGAGAAGAGAAATATGTAGACGTTTCGAGTTTTCTGTTTACCCTAAAATAAATGATTCAGATGATAAAGTGCGATTTCATTTGGATCTCACAGAGTCGTCATCATAGACTAGTGAACTAGTAATAGTGCTAGATTTGCAGGAGCATTCGCGGCGGGAGCCGCGCGGTTTCCCGCAATTTCACCTTCTTGAATAGACACAAAGATTTTTTCATATATAGACTCCCTACTTTTTCCGAATAAGTATTTGGAATGTTATGTATTTGTAAACAGCAAGTTAGAAGAGTTGGCACCTTCAGTTTTTTTGAGATTGTCGTTCTACTCAGGTTATCTCGACAAAAAATGCTCACAAACCAAGTTCCATTCAGAAGCTTACTTAACGATTACGGTAAAATATTATGTACGTACCTGCAGAATATTTCTATTCTTCCTTTCCATCAGCTGTACGAGCGAACCTCGCTTTACCAGGTAACGGCAATTTGAAACTAGTGCAATCTTCCTAAATATGAATTGGATTTATTTTTCAACACCTTATCATACTTACTGACATTAGTTCACTGGCTTTTCAGTTAGTCTTGTTTTTATACTATCTATCAAAAACTGCGATACGAAAGCTTATATGTTGGTTGCCTCTCTGATGATGGATAAACAACTTTACCAAAAATCACAAGATTCAATAATCTTTTTTCCATACTATGAAATTCTGCTCATAACCCTTGCAAGGTACGTACTTCAATTCCGGATCCTTGTAAACGAGTCGCCTGTCAACTTCTAGTAGCTGCTCTGTCCTTTCCATTCTTCGAGCTCCTTCGTTACATTCTCCTACGACCTAGAGTAACACAATTATTACTCTGATCTCGCGCACAATGTGCAATAACACCATATGTATTTGCACTTTATTACAGTACACCTACCCTATTGGCAGCATGCAGAGCTTTCGTGGCGACTTCATACTCTTCGCATCCCCTTTTTAGTCGATCCAGAATAGCGTAGACCAAAAGAGGGTACCTAATAAATCTTCGCTACTATTGTACAAATTCACCTATAAACCTTACTACGAATCGTACCTGGTAACGCGTTGCATGGGTAACATAAGAAATGAACGCATGTCAAGTCCTTGGCACTGTTTGTCAGCTTCCATACGTGAAACAGCAGCCAAAAAAGCAGGATTCTCAGCTTTGAGACGACGTAGTGTTCGTTCTTGGTAGACCTTGAAGAATCAAAATTGGAAAAGTCGAAATCTCAACATTGGCCTAACAACTAATCTTTGAAGGAAAAATATATATGTTTTACAACTTTTCCCAAGAAAATTCTTCACAAAACATTCTGACGAGTCCCGGTGAGGACCGAGAAAGTAATAGTCCCTTCTAAGGGAAGGGACAAAACGTAATGTTTCAGAAAATTACACTTTCACATTATGTAAGCAATTTTGCCGCTGGTATATTCCCAAAATCGGATTTTCCGAGCTGTTTCTTCCCTGATTGACATTTTTTTGTATTGAAAAATAAAAATGGGCTAAAACAATAGAGAAGTAAGCGAATTTTGTATTTACACGGGTAACGATGTTTTTTCCAAGAAAGAATTTTGGAATAAAGTGAATTGAGTTAACAAAGTGACATTCTATAGATTGCATAATCTCGTTGTAATCTAGATAATTTTTCTTTTCGAAATTTGAATATTTATAATTCATGATGGATTTTTCTATAGGAAAGTTTACCTGATTTGAGCAATACTTGATGTAAACATCAAAATTAGTTTCAAAGTGATGGAGGAGAATTCCACATAAGTCATCGAGTACTAAACTATGCTCCAGTCGTGTTTCCAGGTCCGATAGTAATCTATAAAAGAAGGTTTTGATCAGAAAAAATTTACGAGAGAATGAAAGCTGGATGGGCTTGTTGTCAGCTTAAGTTTTTACAGAAACTTTTGATAGCTTTATAGATCAAAAATGCACTATTACCGCTGCGTTAATTATTTTTAGCCACAAGATCTCCAAATTTACCTTTCACTACAGTCCCTTACGGCGAAAATATTGCTGAAGAGCTGTTTCCTGTCCGAATTGGAAATTACAGAAAAGGAGCTCTTCGAACCTAAAATAGAAAACTTTGGAATCGAATTCAAATTACCAGTTTCTGAAAAACACATACCCATTAATTCTTGGCTAGCCATAAAATGGGTGATCAGAATATTTAACGAGCGTAGATAACTGGCTTCACTCGTAATCACCTAAAAAAATTTTTTTACAGCCAAAACATTTTCATTAAAACCCGTTAGCTCTACCTCAAAATATGCCTCCTGACGCATCTTTGTCTCGTCGTCCAGTTTATTCAGCAAACCAGCGGCTCGAACCTGAATTGGCCAAAAGCATTCAAAATGCGCGATAGCCTGGATAATCGGACGAGTTCACCTCTTCCAGCTCGCACCACAGGCTCCTCTGACTACCAAAGTGTGAAGTAGCAATGAGACGTTCACGTCTCATCGACGTATTTGACGTCAACGCCGATGCGGATGTGGAGCAGTCGGCTCCTCTTCCGGAATCGGAAGACGCGCACGACTCTCGACGGAACTATAAACAGGCAAAATTATAGGGGAACCTGGGCGATCTGCAGAGGGTTTTTCTGGCAAGTCGCCAAAAACTAAGTCTTACCAAATCCAGCGAACCAGTCGAGTCCGGAGGGTGTTCTTCCTGTCCACATGCGGAATCATTCGATCTGAGCAGCACACTGTCAAACAGCTTATCGTTCTCGGCCAGCATGTAGATCTGGTAAAGCGGTTGATCAGTGGGTAGACGGCTAGTGTACTGGCGAGTATAGTCTTCTTCTGGTGAAGGCTCATCCTGCAATAGGATCGTTAAATTGTGAAGACAATGAATCAGCGATATAAAAACTTTGTCCATAAAAAGTAGTGGGGGAAAGAGTGTGCTAGTGTGAAATCGGGGAGAGGATGGAGAGTATAGGAGAGAAATGCATTTACTATCGTGATCAGAGTTATCTACAACTTCTTCTATTTTTAATTTCTGTAAATCCGTGAAGTGTGTTAAAAAAGCATTGGGATTGGAGATGAGGGAAGATAAGTAAGCGGAATTTTACTTTTTAGGAAATTCGGAGAATTTGGTTAGCATCATTCCTATGGCTGTTACTTCTATTTCATCTCAGTATTGCTATTTTCTTAATTCTCTGCCATATCTGAAACAGTTCACAACACGAAGTGCAGTAAACAGGGCCGGCAAAAATTCTTTGTTTCATTTTCACTGGTCCAATATTATACTGTTCTTAGTTTTTTTTAGTATTTCTTGGGTGAAGATGCTCGTCACTAGACAATCAAATTAACTGATGCCATGATATGACCAGTCAACAAGGAAGTAAATAATGAAATGCTAAAATTTGAGACCAGTTTTTTTTGGTTTCCGTTTTTCAACGCAAACAAATAAGCGTTGTAGTAGGTGCTGGGCAAACCAGTAGAGGTTAGTTCAAAAAAAGCTCGAGAATTATTATTATTAGGTGAGCACTGGATGCTAAAAAGCTGGGTTTGTTATAAGCTAACTAACAAAACTATATACGAAAGTAAGCATTCTTGAGAAGGGAAAAGAGGTACGGAAGAAAAGGTTGGATGTTGCATTAGAAGCAAGGCTCGGCACGAGGTGGCTTTTGGAAAATGCAAAAACGAGGCTCCCCTTGACTTCCCAAAATGTAAGTCCCCCTTGATCCTAATCCTAATCCATAAACGTAAAAGCCCCCAAAAAAAGGAAACGTCGACAAAAAAGTCGCAAATTTTGTGTCTTTTCGGCTCGGCCACAAAAACGGAACCCTCCTTGCTTTTTGCCCCAAAAACGATATCCAGCTTGCTTACTGTGCTGAGCCCTTATTAGAAGAAATCGATAAAGGGATAGATGCGAAACGTCCATTAAGCTAGTTCTAGATGGAAATTACTCAACAATATAGAGTTCAATTTTATTTATTTACTTATTATATGCATTCGAAGCTTATTCAAAAGCAGCTGATTGTGATGTAAACGAGAACGAACAACTTGAAAAATCTGAGAAAGAGAAAAAGAAAGATAAGAAATATTATCTGAACAGGTCAATTCACAACTAGCTAGTTAAAATAAAAGTAAAATCAAAATATGGCACGAGGCCTAGGCCACTTGAGCATAACTAGATAAGGAGGTATGGAGTAACTATGACTACTCTCGTTTTGCTAATATTACACTTCAACAGGCAGAAAAAAAATTAAACCGTGGGATCTAACCGAACTAAAACTGCTAAGCTACCATTTTTGGTTGGATCTAAAAAGCAATAGAAATTTCAAATCTGTAAGATAAGGCACATATTTGGCCAAAGCACACAAAACTTGTGCAACATATACAAGAATTAGAAAGAGAAACTAGACACAGACTAGTAGAACACGGTGAGAGTAAAAACCATCGTAACGGACAAACACAAAAGCAACCAACTAAACATAAAAAGGAAAAAGCAACCGAGTTATAGTTTAGCATCGCGTATCCGCATTTGCAGATTTTCTATCTTTTGTACGGCTTTTTTGTAGAGAACCGAATTTTTTAGACGTAAGTTGGAAGGGGATAAAGTTCCGCCCATATTGCCACCCTGAAAACAACGGTGCTAGTCCGTCTGAGCAAATTTCTTTGGCTATGCTATCTTTTGAAAAATTGCATTTCTATAGTCCAGAAGCAATACATGGCAGTACTTTTCAAACAAAGTGCGAACATATTAAAAAGATGTTACAAAGTAGAAACTATGGCCAATGACTTTTTGAAAAAGAATGTCAAGAAATTAAATTTGGAAGAGATGAACTTCAGAAGACCAGGTCAAATGCTGCGGAACCGCTGGCATTGTTCGGATATCCGCAGCGTGTAACAAGTCCTGCGGAAGTTCCCGTTCCCAATCAGTTTGACGTGAAAATCCCGCGGAAGTTCCCAATCTCAGCTTTTCACTTTTGTAATAGTAAACAAAGCCCTGCGGAACCGCTATGAATTTGGGTTGTCCTGCGGAAGTTCTGGTAAATTGTATGAGACGGCGAAGATAATAAATTTGGGAGAAGTCAACCATTACGTATGTTAAGAATTATCTCTTGTCCGATAGCGTACTGAAAAATAGTACAGAAGACGGGGGGGGGGGGGGAGAGGGAATGGAATAGTGAAGAATGATAATTGATGTGGGAATAGAGCCAGATTGAAAGCATTTCAAATCAGTGAGGATTATATTTCAGAATCTTTGTTTCATGTAATGGATCAAACTGAGGATTAGCTGAATAGTTTTTTTGCAGAGCAGATGAAAAGAGAGGAGAAAATTTGCAGAATGGTGATGATTCATGTTACAATCATAAATTCACATGAAAACTCTGTTTACAGCTTTGGAGGAAAAGAGTCAGAGAATTAATTCCAAACGTTTTTAATTCCGCTTCCAGTTGAATTTGTTTGTCACCAGAAAGAAATTACAGTATGCTTTGAAAAAAGCAGAAAATGACTTTGAACCACAATCAATTCAATCGTAGTGCATTCAAACATCAGAATGGACACGTCAGCGGTTTAGGTAACAGAAATGGAATTAATTCCCTCACCTCCAAGAAATTTTCAAGGCTTTCATGTTCTTTGAAGGAATTTTTTATAGAAAAGGAGATGCAAGTGCAAGAATCGCAACGAAAAGGTCAACGTAAACATGTACCATGCTCGAGCTGCTGACGGACAATTTAGAAAATGGCAGTTCTTCTGGACGTTGGCTCGTCTCGGCGGCAGTATCGGTTGAATCGTATTCGTATTCTGCAGAAAGAAATTATTATTCGGAACCGAATAGGGTACGAATCGCATAAAATGGTGCTATTAGTATCCACGGCAAAAAATTTCAAATCTCCGTTTTTTGCTGGAAACTGTAAAGGGTAATTTGGCGAGCTGATCATAACTTCAAAATTTATCATTGTAGAGGGTGCGATTCTTACGGGTTACAATAGGTGTATGTAAAGAGATAACAGATTTTCCTGAAATTTTGCTTACCTTAGTGAAAAAATTACGATATTTCAAATACTGTATACTTACCATAAACCTGCAAAAATGGCCCTGTAACTGATTCTGCGCAATAATGACTTTTCAAGTATGCTAATCTTTATTAAATAATTATTTATAATAATATTTAATTTAATTGCGAGACCAGATTTAATAAATATTTATTAAATCTGGTCTCGCAAAAATATTTTAAATAGCAAATTCAAACTCAACAATATAAATACCTTCATCCAGATAGAAATTTATGAAATGCTCAACTACTGCGACCCGCTTACCGTATACCTATCGTAATCCCACTAAAACTGCCCTGTAGATGAGCGTCAACATACTTTTCAGGCGTTCTTTGAATGCCTGGGTTTTTCAGACAGAGTCAAGATGCCGCAAATGGCGCCCATTAAACTATTTCTGAGGGGGGGGGGGGAGGGGAAGGGTTAATGGAGATAAGGATCTAGAAAGTGAAAAATCTTACCAGATTCCATTTTCGTTTTCGTAGTAGTATCAATCGCGGTCGTTGAAGTTGCTGGGAAAACTTTCTTCAGTTGTTGTTCTAGGTCTTTATACATCGACGAACGGCGATCGTCGTAGACATTTTGGTCTGAAAGGAAAAAATTTCTTGGATACGAACATTTTCAGAGCAAAAAATAGGATTTTACAAGCTTGACTACGGGCAAACGCAATCGAAGAGCTGTCAGAAAAATTCATACTTCACACGCGATCAAAGACAAGCAGTGAGAGTCCACGACAAAACAATGCGGAAGCCCCCCCCCCCCGCGCAAGAAGAAGACTGACTGGTTGAACGCTTTTGCAATCGTTGTATAGCTAGCTACGAGAGATAGATACGTATGCTGCTACTTTCGCCTGTGTGTGGTGTGTCTGCCCTGACTGGTGAAGCTGACTCAGTCACGGCCGCCGACGAACGATGCAATGTGAGCTTCGCCTCTTCTGCCGGCCTACTACGGGAGCGGCAAGAGGGGGGGGGGGTTACGCCACAAATAACTTTTAAGAGCATCGCCCATCCAGATTTGGGTTGGGTAAGGTATGGATGCAGTACAATAGCGAGACCCCCAACTGAGTATCTGCCCAAATCCCGCTGCAAAAGGTATATTCCGAAGCGAGAAAATCGCTCCAGAAGTTGGATGTTGCTGGGGCAGCCACGCCCACCAACGCGAAGTGCCTGAAAGCTTCAAGCCCCAAGCCGCAATCCAGAAGACGACATGTATTTTGACAATAAAAAGTGAGTCATCGATGTTTCTAGGTACCAGCTTCGGGCTCGTTACCTGCAATCAATCCATGTTAATGGGCGTGGCGACCCAACAGAAACCACCTTCTAATGCAATTTACTCGTTTCGGAACGCACCTCTTGCAGCGGGACTTGAGGAATTTTTTCACTAGGGGCCTTGCTGTAGTACTACACCAAAATCTCACAAATCTCAGACTTAGTGGACGGTCCTTCGTAGATTATTCAAAATCCAGGTCACCCTGTAGCAGTAGCCAAGCAACGTGGTAGATGCGCTTACGCTAGTGAAGGGGTAGAGAAGAAGCGGGTTCGACTAATCGGCTTCTCCCGGGCTTAGCCCTACTCGCCTCCCCCGACTTCGCACATCATACTGTGCTAGTTTGGATTGGCTTTAACTGCCCGGTGATGAATAGGAGTTGTAGAGTCGTGCACAACGGGTGTACTTGCACTTTTGTTGGGGAGTGGGTCATTTCACATGCCATATCTGGGCATCATTGCAGAAAAGATTGCTTCAAGACACTGGAATCATGGTAAGGAAGAGTAGCGGGAAAGGAGAAGGGAAGAGGTAGGAAGGGGGGGGGGAGGGGGAGAAAGACTGGAATAAAGCGGCCGAAGACGATTGACGGTTGATCGATTGATTACTTTTGTCATGCGAGAATTTCTAGCTTTGTCGGTAGCTAACTCATTTGAAATTCTGATTCCTTTCGTGCGATAAAAAAAAGCCGGGGGGGGGGGGCAGAGTCATGAGAGGAGAGGTGCGAACTTATGCACGCCGAGTAATTTGCAAAAATGATTTACGCTACCATCCTAAATGAACGATGCCACTAAATTTTAACAAATCCCTCCCCCCCCCCCCTCCTCCTGGCCGTACACCTCTTCTGTATTTTTCAAGTTCTATCCCGCATTGGCACACAGATCCAAGTGCTCAGTCACTGCTTTTTACAATATTAGAAGTTCTATTTTTCTTTTCCTCCCCTTTCCTCTCCCTTTCTCACTCAATTACGCAGTTACGCACCCTCGAGTTCAGCATGAATCTAAGTAAATTACTTAAGAAGGAACTGGAGGTTGCTTATTATAAGAAAAACAGATGGATAAATGAATACGGAAAGCATTGAAGAAACGAAAGATCTCATGGTAAAAGATGCAAGTAATCCGAAGTTCTGTCGAGAAATCTATGCTTAAAATAGAACCTAGAAGGCTCATTCTAGGTCATTCAGGCAGATGATTTTATCTCTTATGAAATTAGCTCCAATTCTAAATTAGCTCTATTTTTAAGGACGGTTGTCGTACTTTGTGATGCATTGACTATATATGAATGAAAACAACCTTCTAGAAACTAATATTCTCAACAATTTCTGCCATGGAAAAGACGAGAAGAGGAGTGTACATAAAACAATTCAGTGGATATTCTTCTCATTACTTTTTGATCTATACATGTGGAAAGTTTTCTTTTTTGTTTATACAGTTCTGACGTCTAATTATAGAAGAAATAACCGCGAGTCTCTTAAAAATATAATAAAATTGCCGACCTACAGTAAACTCAAGATTGGATGCAAGTTTCTGAGCCCGATGGTATAATATACCTTCATTTTTAAAACGATTGATAACCTACTTGTCTGAAAAAAAAACAACATTTAAAGGAAAATTTTCTATTTACCGCACATCAAAGTAATAAAGTTGTACTGAGTAGTGTTGACTGGGGAATTATGGCCTTGATAAACCAATAGGCAAGAAAATCAAATTCTCGGGATATACAACTAGAAAATTGAATAGAAGTATATTCAAAATTTTTCGAAAATTTCAATATAATGAAGAAATTAACGGATAGCAGGCGTAGGTAACATTGTGTTTTGACTTCCTCGTAACAGATGAGCTTGCGAATGACAAAAAACCTGTCCGCCAGAGTTCGTCGCGGTTTTACTACGTAGTAATTGCGACAGTGCGAGCCACGCAGTTGTTTCAGAGATCAAAAATCATACGGTAAAGGTTTTAATTAGCGTAAATAAGCGAAAAAGTTCATGAATGACGCGACGGAAAGAATGATGGGATGAATGGACGATTGAGGAAGGAAAAGTAAGGATTGGAGGATTAGATGATTGCATGAATGAGTTATTGGATAGATCGTTAGAAAAATAATTGTATTAAAAAACGAGCGATTTTTACAGAAAAGTAGAAAATTGATGTATAAACAAGATATATATATATCCATAATAAATGAATTGTAGGTCAAATGCAATTGCAAATAGAAAAATCAAAGAAAGATGAGATTACCCTCAAAACACTTGCATGATCAGCAAAGAATGATTAAAATGAGCTGAGATGAAGAATGAATCATAGACATTAACAAGCAGATGGACAATGAGAGAACTAAACTAATGGACTAATAAATGGCTAACGTCTTAAAAGCACTATCACATAAATAAAATCCCCTCCCCTTCGCCACGATCGGTAGCTACGGCCCAATTTTTACAGAAAGACCTATCAGACAACCTATCAATTATCAAATTAGGTGTGAATTGGGATACTACGAAAACTAGGTTATTAAACTGTAACACTTTGAAAAATACAGACGAAGAAATTTGATCCATCAACTTGAAACCTAAATCACATGAAATATGCTGACGAGAATTTACAACCTGAGCGAAAATTAGAATGCTGAAAGTAGGGGAAGGAGGGGAGAATCTCGTTTGAAAAATGTAGCTGAAGCTACCATTGTGGCTATTTTTGCCAGTTTATATGAAAAATTCTGCAATAAAAAGGCTACGATATAATTTCCATGTTTTTCTCAAGCTTTACGAGTCGATGGTGGCGTAGAAGCTTTTAGGTGTTTACGTGCACAATGCTTTTCGATAACGCAAAAAATTGCAAAATCAAAATCCAAAAAAAGTTTTGAGAAGAAGGTGAGAGGATTTTTGGAAACTTCGATATGCTTTTTCGTACAAGAGCTTCATAAGAAATAAACTTTTTTGCGCATAAAATTACAAATGTTACCCAAATTAACCATAAGGTTTATGGTAGTTTATTTTGGTCGAAATGAGACCGAATGATGCAAAGATGGCGATTTGCCTTGTTTTCAGTATGACAGGACCAAAAATTAATCATTTTATGGAATAACAAAATGCATGATTGAATTTTGTTGTGGCAAGCAAAACAACCAAATATTCTCAGATCTTCGCCATATTGCAGAGCCAAAAAAACATTTTAAAAAACTCTCTTAAAAGCTAAATACAAAAGCGTAGATGGGAGTTTACCGTAACTCAAACGTTTCATGGAAGAATACCATGCAGTGAAACTTATGCAAGTAATAGCCACCAAGCAGCTTCTGTGTCCCATAAAGAACCAGTCGCTTTTATTATTATGTCACCATTAGCTATACGATTTGAAAAGTCTAAATGAAACTTCAACGGGTCACGCTTCAAACATACTTTCTTCTTGTCACAGGTCTCATATTAACGGGGGTGTGCAAGCGAATGCAGCGCGGGAATTTATTTTGAACTCATGAAAACATGTAGCTGTTTTTCACTAAATTTGACTACTGCCAAAAAAATATTTTCGTAGGGTCGTAGGGGGAGGGGGCTCATTTCCATTCCCGTCCGTTTTCTCTCCCAGAGATAGGGAACAAAGAAAGTCAGTAAAGTGAAGAAGTTCTTACCTATCAGATATGGAATTATACTTCACGCGAAGCTACGGCTAGAACAAGCTATTCTAAGCGTGGCGGTCTTTTTACACCACTAATGCTGTACCGTTCTCACCGTAATCCTGCCTAATGTAAATCCCATAGGCGTGAAAGTTTTGCGCAAAACAATGTTATACGGGATGAATACGATTTTTCTAAAACCGTCTGAGTAAGCACTGTGAAATCGCCTTCCTTCTGAGTTGGCGCCCGATTACGGTAGCATACGGTATACGAGTACAAAAAGGCTCAATACATAAATTCTTGGTGGATGTGAGCAAATCAGTCCTTATCACTTCCTATATGATGTTCACTTCTTTCTACTTTTACTCTTTCTCCCCTACTTTTTCTTTCGAGACAAGTCTCGATTACGGTAGATTACGATAGCATACGGTACATGCGCGCAAAAGAGTACAGATTACGATAGCATACGGTACATGCGCGCAAAAGAGTACAGTCAAAGGTTTTGCTGAACAATTTGGGAGACATCATAAACGAGTAGTATAATACATGATATATGGCAAGATGATATATGAGTTTAGACATTTTTTTTTTGCTCCTGCATCCTCTCTCTCTCATGAATTTCTTTTCCTCTCAAAATTTAGATTTCTCAATAGCAAATTTACACACTCAATATTTGAATTAATCACGCGGAAAAATGTGTGTTAGAATCCGGATTTTCAGGATATCTCCTTGCCTCCCCCCCCCCCATTCTCTGAATTTCGGCATCGCTGTGCTTCATCGTCCATCCCCAGTCGATTATCCCCCTCGATCAAGCCCAGTAAGTTTCCAGCCCTTGTGACCAGTTTAGCGCTCGGCTTTGCATATTTCGACAATAAAAGCTCGAGCGCTGCTATGTGTGCGCCGCTGGCGCTCGTGCGTACAAATACGAAAACGATGAGAGCGAAATAAAAAATGCGAGCGCGGGTGCGGGGGCGCGAATCGCGAATCGAAAGCACCGACCGTCGTCGTCTTCGCTGCTCCATTCGTCACCGTACACGTAGATGTCTTCGTCGTTGACGTTGTTTTTATAGTGCGAATAACCGGTATCGGAGGCGCCGCCGCCCGCGTACGGGCTCTCCGCATCCGGATCCGCGCCGCCACCGCTGATGTCGAACTGTGAATGGCGTGAACGTTTTTCGTTGACTTTTTGCCGTAGTTGATCCATCTGTAATGCGACGAATAAATTCATGGAAAGAGCAGAGCTCAAAAGTTAGCAAGAATCTTGACAGAAGAATAATTTGAGTATTACAAAACAGACTTGGAATAGAACCTTGCCAATGGCTTTCATGAGGGCAGCAAAAAACAACAAAATAGTTTTTATTCATTTTTTTCTTACTAGCTTGTTCAGACCAAAGAGAAAATTTCATCCAAGTATTAGGTTGGTCAGTAAGTTTTGCACCAAAATTCTTGAAAAGTCGTGAGTTTCTGTGCTTTCAACGAGTTTGTTAAGTTTTTAACAAAGCTTAGAAAAGAGAAAATTATGCGCTTCCTAAGTGTAATGCAAAAATAGTCATTGGCCTACCAAGACGATACAAGCTGATCAAGAGAAACAATAAAGTCGTATCCTTTTCATTTTCAGTCTCTAAAAATGCTAGAAGGTCCAAACAAATCTAGTATTGCTTTTGAGTGATTTTACGACATAATTTCTGGAAAATTTCCAATTGCTAGGCGTGGTGAATGAATATTTCAACTAATAGTTATGATTTTCAACTTTTTGACTCATCGTTTCGACTTTGTTTCGAATGAAAAATTTATGCATTGAATAGACTTGTTGTAGGTTTCAAAAATATAAAATTTGATTTGAAACTTTCTTCGAAATATTTTTGAATTTTAATAAAAATTATTTTATTGATTTTTTATATAAGCACTCCGCCTCCCGCTATCTTTCTATATTCTCGCAACGAATTTTTTTTGAAAATCGTAAATTTTTTTTCAACAAAGTCGAATGACTATTTGAGCAAAAGAATTTCATGCTAATCGATTCGTCTAAACATAGTCATTTTTCAAATTTTTTAATCGAAATTTGGATTTGCTTCTCATAAAAAATCTGATATGCAAACAAAATGGAACATTTAATTGTGATAAAAAGGATAATATGAATAAATCATTTTCAAACAACTTTCAAACAATTCTACATTGTTGGTGAAAGACTAGTACATGTAAGCGCTGTGGTTACTCTCACTGTTTGGCCAAAATAGAACTTCTCTTGATGTTGCTAGCACCTTGAATTAACAGAATTTATGAATACAACGAAAAATAAGACCTTTTTGATGAAGAATTTGACAAACGGAAGTCCTCGCAGAAAAGAGGAACGCATCAATCTTGACAGAAGTTTCGAATGGTGAAATCGAGAACTTAGCTAGAGAAAACGCTGGACCAGATTATACAACAAAGCAACAAGATTCCTGTCGAGTGTTCTTCATCAATTAATGGTTGATGTCTGAGATCTATGGGCTAGATCAGCTAGAATGTTCAATCCCACACTAGCTCGTTAGGCCTCTTCATACATCACTTGATGGATGTATCCGGGTTTCAGTAGGTTGCCCTCGAAAAAGTTCACTGTACCGCTAAGACGTCGCATTTGTATACTTGCGAAGTTTGTGATTTCTTTGGTAGATTTGGAGCAACCATTTTCAAAATCTGATAAAAAACAGCGTTTTCTTATTCACCTAGATCATTCGTCAAAGTTATCCAACAGGAAGCTTGTTCATGAACATTTCCTAGGAAAAAGACACGCACAAAAAGTGGATATAAAAGATGAAAAAGCATCACAAGGCCAACCGGGAGGAATCCGGAGCGCAATTTTTTACGTTTAGGCACATTTTCAGGCTTAGTCACCATAATTCCTGGTAGATAAGAGCAAACAAGCCCACGTTCCCAAAATAACTCATTTCTTGGCGATCTTTGAGATTTTGATGCTTCAACTATTCACTTCAGGAATGCCTTCCTTCACAAAGTACTTTGATCATTTCTATATAGAAAAGAAAAAATTGTAAAAAACTGTCTGCACGAGCAGTAGAAATCTGTGAAATACATAGACGATGTCCCTCCAAAATCTATGAAGTTTAAAGCTGAAACATTGGAAAGCCATGTGATGCAAAATAAATTTTTCGACTCCTAAAAATTGTTATGAGTGTCGAGGAGTATTTGTATAGAATTCTGTGGTCTTTTAAGTCGAAAAGGAACAGATAGAGATGTTCTCTAAAATGACAGAGAAGCCACCGAGACACAAGTGTAAGAAAGATTTTAAGGTTGAAAAAATTTAAAAAAAAACAGAAAACTGAGACAAAACATGAGTTAGTATAAAAAACGTACCTTTTTAGAGATATTGTGGTGTAAACTGGTTTTGAAACGAAATAGTCGCTCCAGCTCTGCGGGACCATTGGATAGTGGTGAAATCATTTTTCTGAATATCGTATAGATATGTGAAGCGATAATTTGAATTTACGTTTGTATACAAATCACCAGAACTAAATTTCAGTAATGGAGCAACGTTGAATCAACACAATTATGAAACTTACTTGAAAAGACTTTTCCTCATCGGAAAAGCGTCTGAAGAGCTTTCAGGAAAAAGAGAAAAACTCCTTTTCAAATAAGGTTTTTGCGAATTTATGGGTAAGGTTCTGGAGTAATGCATCACCGAAACGTCGCGACAGCTCCACCAACCTCACTGGGTTGAGTCATATCGCTATTTAAATAAGATTTTACGGGGCCCACCTCCTCAACGTGGCCGTAAACGGTCGATCTGGCTGCGGCGGTAACGCGGCGGAGCAGTTGCCGGGCAAGGAGAACGAATGGCGACTCGGCTGGCCGGTCAACGACTGCGAATCTGCGAATCTGAACGAAAAAAACACATCGTTTTCGGCTAAACGAATTGAGGCTCATTTCGAGCGCATTCGGATCGAACGGCTAATGATCGCTTAAAGATGCACGCGCACCGTGTGGTTGCTGCACTTTACGAACCGAATGGGCTATTCTTATTCGAACAGCTACGATTTAGTGAATAGTGGGGTGAAGAATCACTTTTTGGAGAAACCTTTCGTTTCAATTTCTACCATGGTAGTAGAACTCTGAAACAAAAGGTGCTAATTTCCACCAAGAAGATAAGGTCTTTCAACCAAAGAGCTTCCAAAAGATGGCAAAAACCTATTTTGGTTTTCTAAACCTTCCTCTTATATTCAACATTCTTTTATCAGTTACAGAAGTTAGACTGGCTACCGAATGTCATGCTGGGGTTGAAAGAAGGTGAAACTGAAATGTTTTAGAGACTGAAATTGAAGGAGATTAATGATACTGTTAAACAATTTACTTGGAAGTCTCAAACTTGAATCTAAATAAACTATGCAACACTTTGATTTCTCGAATCGGGAGCGGAAAGAAAGTGCGCTTATTGCATCGATATTACTCTTGAACGCTAGATTCAGATGAATGGAATAGATACGAGAGCATACAAATATTCTATTATCATCGCTAAGAGAATAAAAATAGAATTATTATAGTTTGACATACCTTAGCATTCCGATTTTTCTATGTAAAACAACAAGAAATTAGTTGCATTCTAAAAATAAAATCAGATCTATTCGAAGAAAGTTAGTTTGATCTAGAGTCTGTTTTTTAGCACTCCCTTCCCCATCCATCCCATTTGAAAAAAAAGAGGAAAAAGAGGGTTCATACCGGCAAATTTCAGTTGAATAAAAAGTGCCACAACGAATTCATTCCTTTGAACACTGTTTTGTTAGGTCTTTTTTTTCGGGTTTTATGTAAAACTTGGTATTTCTCGAATATAAGAGCACATACAGGTTTAAGGAAATCATTCTTAGTAAGGCTTGTAGTATACAATGGCATATGTGGGAGGGGGCTGGGGACGGAGTTTACCATTTTTGGACAATTTTAGTTTCTCGCTTTCTGTGCTTGAAAAGATTCGGTAAAGGCATATTTGAGTACTACTATGTGCCTACGATATAATGACCAAGTTGGAGGTGTGAAGGACTCTTTATCGCAAAAATCCAATTTTCAGGTGACAAATTTTCCGATTTTGGCTTCAAACTTTCCACAGAATGTGGCCTAGGTGGATCCTTGGTAGTTGTTTTGTAGGGCTTGATCTGCTCTATCGAATGATACTCTAAGTTTAGTGGGAAAACAAAAACAGCTTGAATTTAAAAAAGGAGTTTACTTTTGGGACAACCTAATAGAAAAAAGCTATGCCAATCTCTAAGTTTATCTTGAGCTAGATCTATATTCTAAAAGGCTGATTAACCTTGCAAAAAAAATTCCGATCTTGTTACAGATGTATCCTATCAGTATATAAATAACTAATGGTTGTCACAGATAATTATATAGGACAAATGCTCGTAAGCTAAATTTGCACAGATCGCGTTCGGTCGCATGGTAACGTGGGAATCCAGTTAAATGCCTAGGACTAATCTTTGCATTTAGCTGGAAGGAGAATAGGGTGAAAGAAGTGGGATGAAGTGGAGCGGACTGGCTAATAAATCAACTATTTTGAATTGTTTTGCTCCAAAAAGATTGTGTCGTATCTGCTCTTACAAGCTTGTCTTGCTCCTAATTTAAAACTACTTTTTTTGCACTTTCACGAAAATGAAACAGGCTCGTTCACCACAATTTTCATAATTTTTTTTACCACTAAGAATACAAAAATAGTGAAAATGGTATACAAAAAATTCACATACTACCCCTCCAATAGCCGAATAGATCCATCGGAAAAGGGTAAATCATAACTCCCATTCTTGCCTCCCTTGTTCCCATTTCTCCCCCTCCCCCTCAACCCCCTCTCCACTCCCCTTCCCTTTTAGTCGGTAAGCAATTCGTACATTAATAGGACTTGCAAAGCGCTATAAATACGTTCTCAATCTGTTTTTCTGGATTCTTCTATCACAACGACATTAATCACATTCTGCGACTAGTCGAGAAATTTCTATAACACAAATGATTCAGAATAAATGACCCATTGGACTGGTTTCATTTTTCATAAGGACATGTTTGTTGCCCGCAAAGGTTATAGGGGCAGTTCTGCAAAACTGGGAAGTACAGGGTTGGGTAAAATTCATGCTGTGATCTGGGAAAAAAGTGGCAGGAGAAAGGTAAGGGGGTAGCTACCAAACATACCAGGGTATATACCAGTACATGATTGGCTTCAAATGAGATAATAGACACTGTGGCAGAAGTTCCTGTCAGTAATTCTCATCAGGAATTTTGCTTTATTTATTACAAAAAATCTCGTGTCCCCCCGCCCCTCCCCCTTCCCCCTCCATCCTCCTTAAAAATTACGAGACACTGTGCCAAGAATTTTTAGAACTACTACACTTTAAAGGCAGCGTACACCCAAAATCTAAGTTGCCTAATTTTCTAGATTTTTCTACACCGTGTATATACTGGGCCCAGAAGAAGACCAACTGCGTTGGTCCGGTCTCCCAATGTTGCTTCTGAGCGGAGAAAACCCCCCTGAAATTTCTTTCACGCCGCCCCTTTTCTTTCGCTCCGCCTCCTCCGAACGAATCCATAACAGCGCAAGCTGCAATTGCAGTTGCAGTTGCTGTTGCAACATCTGTTGCATTTGTTTTGGGTGTACGCTGCCTTTAAGGTGGAACTTTACCTTGAGCTCTTGACATACACCAGAAAATTCTTCCCACCTAACACAAAACATTTTCCACTTGAGAAAGCATCTTCAAAAGCTGGTTCACATTCACCCTCTCTCTTTTTTCAGTAATGGTAGGAAATTATGTTGTTTGTCTAACTTGCTTTAAATTGCCCGTAAAATTCCATACTTATTTTTGCAAATGAGAAAGCAGTAAAATGTGCAAAAAGCTTGCAAAACGAAACCAGTATATGTTTAGAACTCACATTTCTGAATTTCTTTCCCTGGCTGTCGACGGTTCGCTACCACCGGCTCGGTAGATCTGTGGGCTTTCGGCTGAGCAATCCACTGTACTTCCACCTACGGTCAGGGTATCGGAGCTGTAGTCGATTTGCTCGTAGCACTCATTGTCGTCTTCAATCTCCTCGGGTTTGGGTGGAAGAGGTAATGGAATAGTGGGAGCACTGGAATATGCACATCTTCAAAAAAACTTTGGATTGAAAAGCCCGTAAAAAATGGAATTTTCAGATAAATTTCAGTTCTGCCCCACTAGGATAATTCTAAGGCAACTGCAGAGAAATCAAGATTTCGTGAAGAAACAGTCGGTAGAAAAGAAAGCAAACTATAGAATTTATTCTGAGTTCAGTGTGTAGTGTGCAAATACACAATATACAAATTTAAAGTTTTACCTTGGCATGGCTTTTTCATCAGGCGCTAAGGCGTTGGAAGATGGCACGTTGGGTGATTTTTGCTCCGGAGACGGTAACTGTTGATAAATTTCGTTTGACGGGGAATTGATATCTATCCTGAAAGTAAGCGAAAAGGTCAAGTTCGATATAAACAAATCAAGCGGGTCTAGGGAACTCTAAAAATAGAGCGAGAAGCAAATCTACTAGTTTTTCCCAAAGAGATCACTTTTCGAAAAGGAAAATTTCGCCCTGATTTCTGTTCTTATTGTCTTTCTTTTCTTTTACTTTCGTTTCGATGTAGTAAATTTCCTTAGAAGTGTTAGAACCTATCCGCTGTTTTAACTTGGGAAACCTTTGCTATCACATGAGAATGAAATATGCATCGGCTATTTGCAAATCAAAAGCAAAAACTTTTTCTAGAAATATGGAAAATTTTCAAATTTTTCTCCTGATCATCAAAAAAGGTTATCTGTGGGAAATAAAAGGGGATCAAAAGCCCTACGTTTTGAAAAACTCATCTGAGAGACTCCCCCCCCCCCCCACTAAAATACTCTTACCTGGATCTGTTGTCCTCAGAGGACTGATCACGTTGAACACCACGATCTGGCTTTTTTGGCCCGGGTGGGGGAGGCGGTGAAAATCGAGGGCGAGAACTCCTAGAAACAGGAAGTTATTCGAGAAGAAAGTGATCTAAGGGCATTCAGACCTAGTGAAGTACAAAGGTCATCATCCTAATTTGTGTCTGGGAAGACAGGGTATTCCCCGACATTTCCCCGAACAACAGAGAGATCATTAATTTGGGAAAATTCAAAATTAGTACTATGTGAGAAAAATTGATAAATTAAGCCAAAGCGAAATGATGTCTCAACCTTGACCTGCTTGTCGATGGTGTACTACAAACTGTACTAGGCTGCGGAATTTCAAGAGAAATTCCTCTTGCTTGGTCCAGACTCGATGTGGATTGTCTTTTCTGCATTTGCGGAGTTTCCGTCGATGGACCGGGTTGGTTGTACTGGCTCCAAGCCATCGCACGCTGTGCTAGTCCCTGAGGTTTGGCGGGCGGTGGGGGCTTCTCTCGACGGAACCTGGGAAGGACATCCATTAAATTTCATGGTCCGTTCAGTCACAGAAGAAGTTGTAAAGCCCTCGTAATGACAGTCTCGCTTTCTCCCCCACCGCCTCTCACTGCTGCCTCTTCAGCAGTTACAAAAATCTTCGTACTTGAAGAAACAATGGGTAACAATATTTCGAAGGAAAGCCACCCAACAACCCTACATATTCGACTGAGACCCAAACAAACCAGTTTACATATAGAAGTCTGCACTTACCGAGGAGTTTTCACATCCAAAGGTTGAACCACACAAAGATTGGAATGTGCTGATCCACTTTTTCGCATGATGAACGGTGCTGAAAGCGGTCAGTTTAACACTCGGTTCAGTTCGGTTCAATGTTGAGTCCAAAAAATGGTAGGAATGTGTGATACCAACTATAAAATTGTTATCAATTTCAATTCAAGAAACTATTTTAAGGGATATGAGCAGAATTAGAAAATATCAGATGGTGATAGAAAGAGCTTCCAACAATCATCACAGTAGTGGTAAACAAAAAAGAGCAAAATTTGCTAGGTTAATGATCTTTAGCCTCCGAATTTCATAAATGAAAGAAAAAAGCTTTAACAAAGATCTGATAAGATAATACAAATATTGACCAAGCAAGAGTTTTACTACTAAACCTCGAAAATACATCTGCCATCGAATTTCATGCCTAAACATCATGAAAAGCCACTAGTTAACTTGGGCCTGAGGCATACTTCACGCGATTTAGGTCGCGACGCGATTTGACAATATTCCAATTGTCCATAACTCACTATAAGCATATTTTGATTATACAGAAGATTGGGCATTTTATCAGTCCACATAAGTTATACACATTATGCACGTGCAGTTTGCTGGAATTGGACCTGAAGACTTCTGGCGAGTTGCCAAATCGCGTCGCGACTGAAATCGCGTAAATTATGCCCGGCCCTTTAGTTTTCATTTTTGATAATGCTCGCTTACAATTGAGAAAATTCAGCGCATGTTCCAAAGTAATAAGAATCAGAAAAATTGTACTCATAATGCAAGAAATTCGACATTAAAAGCACGAGTACAACCTTACAGAATTGATCCTATTTTTTTCATTTCCTAAATCTCTACAGCATTACTACAGCCATTTACTTTTTTAGTGAAACATGAAATATATAGAAATAGACGAAAGTAGAGATTTCTCCATTGTCTACTGGTAAAGTTGTAAATCGTCAAAGGTCACACATTCAAGATACAAAAAGCGAATTTTGGCGGTTGACGATTGAAAAAAATTGGATAACCCATCAAAAAAGAGATACGGTAGCGCTTTGGCGATAAATTGCAGACGAGGTAATACATAAACGACTCATACTGCTATCTTCATGACTTCTCTTATCTAAACCAGCAAAAAAACCTTTTTCTAGAGAAGAACGCCACAAGGAGCCATGATTTGAAAGCATGTAGTCGAAAACGAGTCATTGTGGCTTAGCTTAAGCACTCTAGAAAGGACGAAGGAAATCTCTTCTTATCCGAAAATCACCGAACGTCATCCGCCGAAAAATGCACAGTTTTGCTAGCATGGCTAGATCAAGGAGAATCGCTGAATCAGCGAAAACAAACCTGCTTTTTGAAAGCACAAAATTTACAGATCAAAAAACTGAAAACTGTAAAGTATGCTGGAGAAAATGAGCAACATTTTAATTTGATAAGTTCTAAAAAAGTAAGCGAAAAAATTGCCAACATCATTTTTAAAAAAAATTTGACAGCGCCCCAGAAAACAATTTGACACTCTTAGATAAGGAGATGACTCATTGTCAATAAGATGCAATGGAGTGTGTTCTGAACTCCTGTAGAAGGGAAAAATAAAGCGAATAGGTGTTACTGCAAACGAGACAATGTGTTTTATTGGCTTCCGTGACAGTGCTTATGTGATGAACTTCATAACGATGCTATAAACACCAAGACCCATCAGGTGCATTGCCTGATGTCTTTGCAAAAGTACATTAAAAGATGAGTCAGCCAGAAAGCTCAAATCAAAACAGATATATAAGAAAAGTCATAGTTCGAAAATAACTAGGTTCTGAGTGAAATTAGAGTTTATCTACCAATTAGAACAGATACCGTTGATTGTATATCGACTGGCTGGAAAATAGAATAGTATAGTAGTTAGTAAGTAGTAAAAATCAATCAATCAAGTTTGAAAAACTCAAAGAAACTACAGAAACTTTTAGATTTAGAAGCCGTCATTCCAGAAGTTTTTTTGCGGAAGAGAAAGGGCAGAAAAAGGAAGTAACTATGAGGATTTTTCTACCCCCCCCCCCGTTTTCCCAACCTTTCATATTTAGCTGTTCCGTAGCTACTGACAGTTTGGTTTTTTTAGCGTTGGTAGGTAGATCAAACGAGGAGCGCCAACACACATATTTGGAATAGGTACAGCAGAAATGGAGGGGGCAGGGGAAAAATTCTACTTGCAAGTCTTAGAAGGTACAAGCTGAGAGCTTTCGCATACTATAAGCTTCGAAAAATGAAAAAAGCAATTTTTTCTAAAAGTATTTGCTGCAAAAATGTTTGGGCGTACCTTAAGGGTAGCGCCCATCCGAAATTTCGCCTCCCACGTTTTTGCCATTCTGGAGCCTTTCCGTTCAGATTGACCAAAAAACCCGATCCCTGGAGACCGTACTTTGAGAAAGCTAACCGTTTTCAGTACATGGATGGGGCGGAGCTTGATAAGTTCTGGGCGGGTCTTGATGGCACTTCGGCTGTTTTAGGTCCATTATCTCCATTCAGAGATAAGGGACCATAAAACAGCCAACATTAGAGGACCGGACCAACGCAGATGCTGTTCTCCTGGAGCCTACATTCAGGATCGGCACCAGTCGGAAGGGGTATTTAGCCTGGACACTGCCTTTAAGAGCACCTAAATAAAAACAAAAGTACTTTGACGCCTAAAACCGTATTACCTTTGCTCACTGTCAAGATAAAAGCTATGAAAAAATTTTGCACAGTAATCTCATAGAGGTTCTGCACGTTTCCGCTATAAAACGTCCTCATCTGGTCATTGAAAAGTGAGTCACAGGGGAAGAAGAACGGTTAGATAACGTCTTAAACCCACTGATAATAATTACCTACGAAAAAAAAAACTTTTATCTTTGGCAAATGTAATCACCTTTCATAAAAGCTGACTAATTAATTGACAGGGAAAAAAAGCAAAGGGCAGTATTTTGGGTGGATCCCCTTTTGTAAATTCTATCCAAATTTTTTTGTCTAATCACATTAGGATGGAATGTCTAACATCATCGTTATGTAGAAAACATGTTTACTTTCTCATCAATCAATTAGTACCTAAAATCAGCATCGTCATGTCTTGAGCGTCTAGAGGGTGTTTTTTTCTCAACCGTAAGACCCCCATGCACTGGATTGGGTGGCAAAAGTGCTAAGTGGATTATAAGGAGCTTCACGACGAGTGGTTTTTTATGCTTTATGGTCCATTAAGCATCCGGGGCTTTGAGATTTCCTGATCTTCTAGAGACGATGAAATGAAAGAAAAGTTGCGAAGGATTTGATTCATCGATCCGTGCTAGAGTATAAAGAAAAGAGGAGGAGGAGTTAGGGTGAGAGGAAGAGAAGGGCAAGCGGAAGAAATGAAAACAGAGGAATTTATAGAAGTATTAGTGATTGACATTGGAGGATGCTTAACTAGGCTCAATTACGTACAACGTAGTGCCCATGCATCAAGAAATCAAGTGCAGAACATCAGAATTTACGCGAAAAAAACCGTTTACTGATATAAAGAATTAGCAAACAAATTCAATAAAGGATTAAGTAATCAGAATATTCCAATAAAAATTCGTTTGATAAGGGAGTACAAACAGCGATATTCATGAGCTAAACCACAAAAATCTAAAAGAAAATCAACACTGTGAAAAAATTTTGATTACTAGAAAAGAATGATGAGCAGAATCACAAGAATGCAATTACGACAGAACAAGTCATTAAAGCATATAATCAATTTTTGGCATAATATTTGACATCATTTCCAAATTTTGGGAAAGTGAGATGTAGTGGCAGCATAGTGCAAAGAATTGTTTTCTTTTACATATACTTACAGCTGTAAAAAAGGAGGGGTCAATGAGAAAATCTGCTAATGAGCTTAGTGTTTTCATATGGAATAACTTGGTGACTGAGAGTATCAAAAAAAAAGTCTATCAGGTTGATATATTAAGTCGTCCCGAAAGTTCTTTCGCACCAAATTCAAAAATTCATAACTAGTTGAATTCTCAACGAATTTAGGTCTAAATTTTATATAAGAGAGAAACTCATGCTCTTTGCTAATGTCCCTGAACGGTTCGTTAATGTGTACAAATGAAGGAGATAGAAGCTCAAAACGAAAACCACTCAAAATTTGAATTTTTCGTGTAGGTTCATAAAAAATCGGAAACTTGCAACGAAAATCGGAGCAGTCGATATTGTAGGTTCTTTTATCCGCTCTTTCTAATAGTGCAAAGTTTGCGCCGATTGAGCGTCTCTATGAAAAGTTATGATTTTCGAGCAAGCAGTACAAAAGCGCGAATTTGATTTATTATATTTTGGCATTTTTCAGGGAATTCATAACTTTTCACAGAAACGCTTAATCGGCGCAAACTCTGCACTGTTGGAAAGAGCCTGTGAGAGAGCCTACAATACTGACTGCTCCGATTTTTGTTGCAAGTTTCCGATTTTTCATGACCCTACACGAGAAATTCAAATTTTGAGTGATTTTGGTTTTGAGCTTCTATCTCCTTCATTTGTACACACTAACGAATACTTTGTACACACTTCAAGTACACTTCCAAAGAGCATAAGTTCCTCTCTTATACAAAATTTAGATCTTGCAGATTCTTTGAGAATTCAACAAGTTATGAATTTTTGAATTTGGTGCGAAAGAACTTTAGGGACGACCTAATATAACTCTTGCACCAGAAAAACTCGAAAAATTATGATTTTCTGCACCTTCGAAGAAGGATCGATTTGATAAATATTAGGTAGAAAAAATGTTCATTCTTGGCTATATCGCCACGATATAAGGTAAATAAGCGAAACACAAAATGAAAATTTGAACTTTGGCTGATATTGCTCTTAAATCTCTATTGAAACCTGATTTGTTATAGTTTTGCTTTTCGTTTTATGACCCGTTCTTTTTGAGGTAAGATAATTTCGTGCTCAGTAAACGTTTTTATAAACAATTGTGGTTTTAGAATTTTTCTGCTTCAACTTTTTTATTTCAATTTTGACTAAATCTCCAAGTATACAAAATATTAGGTTGATGCAAAAGAAATGGCCGATTTTCCAAGCCTTTTTTCAGGGCAATTTTTTTCCATCACTACTTCTTCTTTACAGCGGATGTAATATATTGCCGCAAAGCTGTATTCATGCTCTATCTAACGGTGCTTGAAACGGGCTCTCACCTTCATCTCTTATAAAGTTACTGAGCTTCAAATAACTGCATCCAAATTCAGAAATTCATTACATCCACTTTTCCGGCCAGAATTCTAGCGCGTATCAATGGAATTTCTTCGAAAATTTAGACATTGTACGTAATAGAAATTCTCTACATTATGCATACTTAACTGCATTCTTTGAAGTTATCCAGACTGAGATATCGGCACCTAAACATGGGTAGCTATTGCGGTCATTTTATGACCCATAATTTTCTTCTGAGGAAGTCAGTCGCCGAAGCTTTGCTCAATTCTGTAAGCATAGGGCTAGGACACTTATTAACAGTTTTTGCAAAAAACATCCAGCTGTTCAGTACGTAGAAAATCAGAAAATTCTATATTCTGGATTTTGAGGCACACAGAAAAAATGTTGAAAAAACTGAGAAATTTTAAATTTGAATTTTTTTCTTTCTCGCAAACTTTTTTGTCCGAATTCTTTTTATTGTATTTTGTACTACTGGCTTGCGCCTACAAGATAGGCCACTTATCATTTATACTAAGAAACTTTGAAGGAAGTTATGAATTGTCAAAGACAAGGTTCCCGCAGAATAACCTTTTTTGTCTTTTAGTTCGTATTTCTCTTCCCGTTTATGGTTTGAGTATAAATAAGTATGCGCTGTATTGCGAAAGGTTTGCCGCTTCTGGTGGTCTTTACCGCATCTAGAAATGTGGATCTTTTAGAAAGTTATAGCACATCAAAGTGAGAATTCGCAAATCGGCCATTCCTTTTGCATCAACCTAATACATTTAGCTATGTCAAAGAAAACTATGTGACAGGGAAAATATGCACATTTTTGAACGAATTTTTCTATATTTTTGGTGCAAGAATTATGTAATGAGCTAAAACATATAAAAAGGACCAAGTGAGGACGATACACAACCTTCGGAAGAGAATTCTGAGAAAAGATGAAAAGATATGGAAGCGGAGATACGGAAGTAGCCACTATAAGGGATCATAAAAGCATCAGAGCTCAGAGTATTTGCACAGAAGTGCAAGCGATGAGCAAGCAAGTAGTCGTTCACGAGAGAGTGTGTAAAGCCGTAAACGAGCACATAAACAAATATATGAAAGTACGTAGAATTGCGTAGTATACATAAGACTCACATCTATGTGTAGCTGGAGATGATACGGGACTGCTTTGTGGTCGTTTCTTCTGCGAGACTCGACTTCGACTGAGACGAGCTCGAGAGGGTTGATTGCTGAAAAGGAGAGGGGGTTGAATAATGGGAAAAAGGGAGCCGAATTAATACAAATCTTTCCTCAGAAAATTCTGGATATTCTATAGAAAGTATACAACTTTCTTACTCACTCATCTCCCAAAATATTGTCAAATATATCGAAATTACAGAGATTTCATCACAAACTTTTACTAGAAAGATTCAAAAATTTTATAGAACTATAAGTTCCAGCACAGATTTCCCCATACATAAAAATCCATAGATTTCAAAAATTTCAGTGTAAACCTTCTCCCAAAGTTCGAAAAATTCACAGAAATATAGGTTCTAGCACAAATTATTTCCCATAAATAAAAATCTAAAAATATTTCGAAAATTCCATCACAAACATTTTCACAGAATACTTTGATTCATGGAAATTTGAATCAAATACAAGTTGTTTCCCACAAATGAAAATCTACAATTGAAATTTCATCAGAAAATTTCTCCCAAAAAATTTTGAAAAATATATAGAAGATATATGAGTCTCAAACATATGATTTTCCAAGAAATTGCCAATTGCTGAAATTTTAGAACTTAAATCACTAACCCATTCCAAAAGAAATATGAAGAATCTATAGGACTTACAAGAGCTTCAGCACATTCATTTCCCAGAAACTAATAGAAGTCTATGGATTATATTTATGATAAATTTCGAAAAACCTATGAAATTTGTTGATATTTTACATTCAAAGCAAACCTTCCCCCGGAAATTTCTGAGAAATCTTCAGGTACTGCGTAGATTTCCGAAATAGTGCAAAATTCCGTATAGCAGTCGAAAACGGAACAGCACCAACTCATCACCGCTCGCTACCGCAATTAACGGATTTAACCACCCGGCTGTTCTCCCCTTCCGTTGTGCTCCGCATATTACACCCCCCCCCCTTCTACCTCATTCGCACCCTCAAAACAAATCACCCCGGTTGCAGCAGCGAAGTATATAGCCCCTCCCCCCCCCCCGCCCCCGACTTTTTCTACCCGATAGGTCAAGTCAATAATAGGAAAAAGTGTCGAAGAACGAATTGGATGTTATTACGCGTGTAATTACTGGCGAGTGAAAAAAAAACATAACACTGGTCGAGCTGGTTTTTTTTCCGGAGACGCAAAACGTGCACGTCACGTAACGGTTTCGGGAAAATTAGCCTCAACCACTAATAAGAAAAGTTCGGAGTTTTACGACTATTTCAAGAATCGCCAATAATTTCAGGCAGTAAAATCTTTAACCTTAATTTGATGCTTGGAAGAAACTCTGAAAAAAAAATTCATTGATTTTCTTGCCCATCTAGCATAAACATTTGATCAACGCAAAACAAATAGAAAACCTGTCTTGGAAGGCGCATCCGTAAACAGAAAAATCGAATTGGAAGCAATTGGACGAGGCTTTTCATTGCAAATTTATTTTTTCAACCATTTCGATTTTCCACAGTGTTATACAACTGGTTTTTCGGTTGCGCAGCTTTGCACATACAATCCATCATTTCAAGAGTCACTCGATCATTTGACTACAAAAAAGCAGCGGTTACGGAAGAAACTAAAAATTTAGGGAAGGAAAAAGAAACTGGTACTAGTTCGCTTTTCTACAAAAATTGGCGAGATAATTTTCAAGAATAAGCCAAAATTACTTAATATCATATCGTTTCAATTTGTTATCATTGGTGGAAAAGTTACGGTAATGAAAAAATTGCATCCAAACAGAAGCCTACAGTGTGCCAAATTCCATTTCGCGAGGTCCATTGTATGTTTGAATAATTAACAAACAGTGTGCAGTTATACTACTGCTTTGATTGGACGAATTGTGGGTCCCACAGCGATAGTTGTCTAGATATGGTAGGCACTAATACTGACGATAGCAAAAATATTTTGAAGCTTCCTTCACGTACTTGAAATGACAAATAATCAGATAATTTCAGTTCTCACACAAACTTGTTGCAAAAAAATTGAAGGAAAGGAAAGACCAAGTTTGAATTGGATTAATTTGGAAAACTTAGATACTACATGAAACGAAATAAAATTAAAAGCAATCTTTTCGGCTATCTTCATCGGTGGTTTCCTTCGCAAAATTATCTTTCATAATTCGTTGTGCAGGAAATTCAAAAGATTACGGTATCCAGGCTACTGTAGTAGCTCAAAAAGACTTTTGTCAAAGTTTATGATAGCTCTCAAAAAATCATTGTGAATAACTATAGATATTTACCGTGAAAAATATGTAGGCTCCTCATTTTCTTCCTCGTCGGACATCACAATGATAATGGTCCCTGATATAGCAGGTTATCTGGATAATGATGCTCGTGAAGGTGATCGTAAACGACACAACACGCGAAATTGCGGAATAAGTGGGGGGAGTAGAAGTAGTAAAGAGAGAAGAGAGGACACACGATGAAGCGGCCTCGACCAGCCGGGGTGGCGTCTGAATGGAGGCGTGGAACGGGTTTCACTCACTGGCCCCGCCGTTGCTACTACTGCTGCGCTTGGGGCGCGGGGGACGGGGGCAGTTGACGGGTGTGAGTGTGAGCCCGTGAGGGTGGCAAAAAACGATCAAGATTGTATTCTGCAGATTCGCCCATTCCACCACTGAAGAAGTCAAATAGCTGGAGAAGTGAAGAAGTGGCAGCGTGAAGTGAGTGTTTGACAAAGCGAACAATTGTGTGAACGTGGACTTCGGCAAATGCCTGGTTTCGTGGAGAGCGTGAAAGTGCACTTCTTCATTTTTTCTAAACTCGTTCACGGACATTTTATGGTAATAGTCGTGAAAAAAAAATTCGTTCTGCACCACTCTGTCTAAGAGTACTTTGGTCGGTAAAGGTTGTTGAGGATGCGACTGAAGAAGTTTGAGGTTTTCAAACACTTTTCAACATAGCCGAACTTTGAAGTAGTACCCTTGTACCATAGTCAAGAAGTTCTTAGAATCGACAAGCTCGTCTTAAGCCGGAAATCATGTTTCCGTGAAACTATCAGAACATAGGGCTTACTGCAAAGTTGAAAGTTGTCAGCTGAAAAGGCCAGTTGAAAGCTCATGAAGCGCTCATTCTAACAATCTTCAATACTTCCAATGATGCGCAAGTCTCATTGCACTAAAAATTCTGAATTTCCAGCAGTAATATTATGAAGTGCTAAAGGTTAGAACCAAAAAATATAACAATGAGATTTGGTCCACTTCGTTAATTTTCAAAAAAAAAATTTCTGGCTCTGACCAACATTTTTTGAGCCATTATTACAAGTCTCGTTCTTAGTTTCTCTGTCGGACAATTTGAAAATTCAACCGTGTCCAAAGCCTAATTTACAAAAATTGAATGTTTCTCAGCAGTACTGTGGTAGATCGGAGGTCAAAATCAAGAATGTAAAATAATGGGATTTGGCCAACAATTTGTAAATCAATAAAAAGCTCTTCGGAGCTTACGGTCAAAGTTCAAATAGCCCTATGCCCTTACAATTTTGATACTATATCTGAAATCAAAAATCAAGTTTTTGAGAAAGCGGTCTTTTCTTTGAAATTGAAAGGTAATTGATTCGGAGCCTCAAATGTTTGAAAACCATCAAAACTGTAATCAATATTCCATACCAAGATAAGAAGGAAAAAACATTCAGCTGCTTAGCTGTTCACAAAAAAAGTAGAATTTCGAAATATTCAGTAAGAGCACAATTTTCTCTTTAAATAGTTCGTAACTCGAGTTTTTGTCTCAAATATTGAGATATAGTAGGCCTAGAAGCTTGTTTGAGATCACTGCGTCGAAAAAGGTGGGCAGGTACCGTAATTGAACCCATTTCGGGGGTTTGATAAATATTTACCGGATTAAAAAAGTAGTGGAGATGGGCTTTAAGATCTTGCTATTCCAAATATTGAACTTAGTATGAGTGAAGCCAAAAATAGCATAAACTGAATCGTGCGAGTTAAAGTGGGGTGGTGACAGAGTGTGAAGCAAGATAATAGAATATGTTTGACAGTTCTCGTGCCCCGCCCCGCTTCAAAACCCTGTTCTGTTTGACACTTATACGACGTTGTTTAAACAAACATAAAACCCTTTAACTTGCTTTAAAACAGGGTTATTAGAGATTAGTGCCCTCAAGTATAATGAAAAGAAGAGGATACTTACGTTAATTTCCTCTAAAAAATGGGAAAGAGTGGGAAATCTCAAGAATATTGTAAAAATGTTTTATAGCGTTTCTACCTCGGGTTTTGATGATTTACGGTCCTCTGCACTCTAAATGGCACCACTTTACGAGGATTACGGTAGGCTTGTGTAATTGCACTCAATAAATGTGTGACAGAGTTTACAGTTATCCTCATAATTGGTGAAGTGTGGTACAGTTCACCTCAAAAAAATTATTAGGTAGATGTGGAGGGAGCTAAATACTTATCAAATTTACTAAAAATGACCATTCTGATTTTGCGCGTGAATTCAAGTTTAGTGCATGTCATAGAAGGGGAAACGGCCGTTTTGCACTACAGTATCCCATATTCTGTGTAACTTGTCCCAACAAGCCGCGCACGCAACGAATTTGTCGCGCGCAGCGTCGGTCCTGCACGGAAGTGTTTCATAGCACTACGGTAGTGCGTGCAAAAAGGCCCGAACGCCACAGAAGAGCTACAATGTTTGTTAACTCAGCGATAAATGACTGCAGTGTACTTTAAAAAATTGGCAAACATATCCGCGCAGTGACATGTGTCGTTGGAAGATTTTTTTCCTCGAAAATTCAATAAAACAAGAAATTGTGCAAACTCATACAGTGTAACGATACATATCCGCATTCTGTCGACAATGTCGCGTATTGTAAATTCAAATCCACTCAAAATGCGCACTTACTTATCCACATTCCACAGATCGAAGGCTGCGAGCAACTTTCAACCATTCATAAAACGATCGAACGAAACGCAATCAGGAAGCGATCAAGAACCTGCTCCACAGCTAAGAGATCAGTCAGAATTTGTGGATAAAATTTACGCGAGGAGAACAAAGCATGAAGATCAGAGGAAAATAGAAAATCCTTTTGGATCTAATTAACAAAGTTAGATTGCTCGAGTGGCCAGATGTTTCCGTATGAATTAGTATGATTATCTGCTTGATTCTCCTTATTTTGTATTTCTGCAGAAGGAGCTTTTAATAGTATAGTTATAGAATGGAAATGAGTTCTAGAATACTTTTCTATTTTCTCTTTCAAAGAAGTCCTAGAAGGCTGGCCAAACAAATTTACGCTACAAAATCATAACAATCATTTATTTGAGTAATTCATACTTGCAGTGGATTATATAACGTTGTAATGCCAGACTGAAAAAGAATGTAATCTACTAGCGCTATGCCGAATTCTTGAGAAGTCGACCTCAGTACCAGTACAACAATATTATTTGAACAGAATATGTTATTACTCAACCTTTTAATACCCTAAAATATTTCTAACTCAGGCAGCTTTTTCGTTACAATAGAAAATTTTCCACCCAAAAATGCTTTCATTTGCTGTTTTGCACACGGACCCTTAGGAACTCCTTACTGAATGTTTCTTCGATGCCTGAACGAGACGAAACTACGAGAAAAGGCACTAAATGAGCATCTGGCTCAGATCAAAGCTCCCCTAGGTCAGCTAGAGGGGAAGGGAAACCCAATATGTGGATTTTGTGCACTTGCAGATATTACATAAAAAACTTGGTTGCAGCTTCTAAATAAGAGCGTGGACAGTCGAATTTATTAGTGCAACAATCTCTGAGACGCTAAGAACTCAAGATAACAGCTAATGGCGGACGCGTAAAGCCGAAACGTTGGTCCTCTCGTATAAAATTGATAACATCTTGGTTGCTGCTTGATAAAACGAAACAGTACCACAAGGCATGCCAAGATTACTAAATAATAAGCGATGCTGGACAGACAGTGCTTCTATCAGCTTACTCTGCTGAGTACATCTAATAAGAATTTTCTAGTTCTCTTTTGGCTTCCATATCGCCCTCCTTTTCCAATCTGATTTGGAACTTTTTTCATAGTGATGAAGAGTGAGGAGAGTGAGGATTAAAGCATTAGGTATGACTTCCATTATGATCAGGTAAATTTGTACGATGAGAGTAAAATTTGAATTTGATTTTGGAATAAGTTTGTGGATCCATGTTGAAGGTGAGCAAAGCATAAATTATTTGATATAATCATGATACCATGAAAACTCGGGTTCTTTTGCATATATGCACGCCAATATTATGGTGTAAAAATTTATTGTGAGTGAAAATTTTTTCAAAAGAGAAGTTTTGTTCAAAAGGAAAAATATATAAGAAGCTTTTGGTTTCTCGATATTCAGTAAACAGAGACTTCCTCAACTCAACTAGATATACTAATTTTGCCTTGGGGCAAAGGAATGGTAAAATGGTGGTGTGAAGCCATATAAAGTGAATAAATTATGAAAATAATGAACGTCATAGTGTGCATGACAATGACGAGAAAAGCTCATTTGATTTCTGGGACCTCATTTTCTCTAGCTAAATAGAAGAGGGCAACCCGAAAAGTGGTAACTGTGGTAAGTACTGGTATGTAGACATTTGTCACTCATAAAACGAAAAGTTCAGATCGTAGAGAGTGGATCGGTGTCAGTTTCAATGCAATATGTCTTCCTGTTGATCTTGAATCAACACATAATCTCATAGCAAACAGGTTGCTCTTTTTCGCTAAAAATATACACGCGGGGCTGGGGGTAAATATAGCCCCCGAGCGGTGGTGTCACTCACCATTTTCTCACAAGTCTCGGATCGTGCACAACAAGCAGCATCGTCGATTTCGGATTGTTCGGTTCCTGTTCCTTCTTCCTATTCTCTAATCCTAGAACGGCATTTTCTTTTCCAGGACGAGCAGCGACAGCGGCGGCCTCGCCGGTTTCAAACCTGAAAACAGCACATTTCGACCAGATGCGCTTATTGTTTTCCTGAAAAGGGATTAGAAGTCATTAGAGCCAGCCGCCAGTAAGCTCTGAAACGATTCGAGGACCTGTTACCAAATCGACTCAGCCGAAAATAAACCACCCGAGCGGCGGCAGCAGCAGCAGGCCCGCGGCTCGAGCGCGAGCCACAATGCTCGTACGGGGGTTGCACTATTTGCATTGGCTTTGACGAGTGGGCCATTCAAGGGCGAATTTTGAAGAATTGCCGAGAGGCGGAAACGGACAGGAAGTGGATCGAGAATGAAGAATGATCGGGGAAGATGAAGGAAGGATAAGGCAATTGAATTCCGTAGTAGTGGCCCAACTGAAGGGTCAAAACTTTTAGAAGAGAATGAGAGATTTTCAGGGCTATTACCATTAGAAGGAATGAAATTCACCGCTTATAACCCGGCTAATTTCTAGTCTGCGTCTTCTTAAGTCATTATAAAATTTCAGGTAAATCTCAATACAACGAATAATCACGCGCGGTCTCGCTTGAAGGTCTCAAACCTGATTATACAATGGTTCTGAATGTCAAGTGCAATCCATTATTTTTGCAAAACTGAAAGCTGCAAGAAGTTTTTATCAAATTTATCTCCTTTCCCCATCTTTATGCGCTTCACCGCACTTCTTAAAATATGGCGATGTGAGAATTTGATCGAAAATGCATGAATTGCAGGTGATGGATGGTAGCATTTCCAGGGGCTAATGATAAAAGAAAGGGTCTCTGAAATAGTTAATTAGTAGCCTCTCCTCCACCCCCGACACGATAAGTCAAAAACTTGGATTTTACAGGGAATCGAGACATTTTGCACAAGAAATGAAGTCGCAAATTGAACAAAGATTTCTGTGGAAAAAAATGCTGCAAACTTTGTGGTGAAATAGAGATTATATTCAGTTGTAATCAACGCAAGACTTTTCAGAGTGATGTAGGATTCTGAAGGGGGAAAAAAGTTCTTCTCCAACCTCAAAATTCTCGGATTACTTTGTTATACTTCTTTGATGTTTGTTATTCTTATGGGTTCTTTAGAGCAATATTTTCGCAAATTTTGGCTTGTTTTTCTGGATTTAATAACGGAATAGGTAAAATCTTCCTGCTACAGCTTTCCCTTCTAGTGACAAAACTTCGGACAAATATCCAAGAGACCAATTTCGACAGCTCTCCTCATCTATAATAGACCTCCGCAATGAGCGGCTAACCTTCTGATCCTCTTCCAAAACACCTTGATATCTACATCGAAATCCGATATTGACGCGGGTTTCATATCGGATTAAGGGCAGGCGCCTTCTAAAGAGGGGGGTCCGAGGCTCTGCTACACCTCAACTTGAGGTGAACAGGTGGTGCCGTCACCTACCAAAGACACCGGGGATCCGGGGATCCAATTGGTTGTGACAGCCGAATGCTAAAGTAGCAACGGGGAGGGAAGGATTGCGGAAGGGATAACGGAATCATTTCTAATATTTTTTGACTGGGATTCATGAGTTAGAAGGAACGGATTGTGGGAAGGATCCGATCATAATTCGACTGCGTACTGAGCTGTATATTATAAATTTTTTTAGCTTCACATTGCTTGAAAATCAAATAAAATGCTCAAGAAACGTCAGCTAGAATACTACTAAATTGAACAACCGATTACTCAAATAGAGCACCCATATAATTTATTCAATCATGATTAACCAGGTTTTTGCTTAGGTTCAAATAAAATTAAATATTCAATTATTCGACTGCATTATTTATTAACACATTGACGACCGAAGCCTTTCTCGGACCAGCCAACATTTTTTAAATAAAATCACGCACATTTCCATCTACAGTACACCTACAGTAGCGCTGGAAAGCTGGCAAAAACAGTAGAGGTTGTATCTAAGTCCAACATGAAAGAAAACTCCCGGAGTTGGTTTAACGTAATTCAGTAGCCATTTCAATAAGAGTTATGGTGTGTCAAACCTTGACACACCATGTGTGTCAAGCGGTCATAAATGTGTTAATTTTTTTTGTGAAAATTCTCAAGTCTTTCAATAGAAACTACCTGAATATTATGATGAGTTCATTTAACAATCCGTTTTCAAAAATCACTAGATTTAATGTTTCAGGATACTGTAGCGTACCTTCAGGTATTGACTAAGGGTCAGCTACTGTACCCCTGCAATGGATAAACATATCGTAACAAATCATTTTCCTGAAATTTCTGCAAGTGCAGATTTGCTACCTATATAAATCTATTTCCCAGAATCCTACACTAAGCCTTCTACCCCCTCTTAGCTACTTGAAATACCCGGCTCAATTACATCTCTCGTACGCAATCCTATGAGTTCTCAAGCACTCTGAGCAAGTTGTGCAAGTTCCCTGCCACTTTAACGTCACGTTCTTTCTCAATTGCCATCCTGCAGACATTGACAAGGCGCACAAAAAACGTTAGTATGAGAAGTGGCTGATACGAAAAACATATTGTACTCCAAAGTCTTTTCGAACAAGCTGCAGCCGTATTTGCTCAGATTCTGCATTATCACTTCAAGGTAAGTGGTTCTTGGAACTTGTCAAAAAAAATCAGAATATTTTTTCAAAAAACTCCAGAAAATGCTCCAGTATACTCCTGAAAGGCTTAAATAGATGAAAAAGTCAGGACTTCGGATCTGCACTGTATTCCGTGAGTTACCGTAGCTTGGATAAGAATTCACAATAGCTGATTGAAGAGATTCGAGAAATTTCTCACGGTGGGGAGGGTGGAGGGAAGGGGGAGAGTGTGAACAGACAAAATTTTTAGTTGCATTTCAAAGATCTTGTGAGACCATAATCCATAAGTAGGAAGGGGGTGACGGCACAAAAAATCTTTGCAAAGCTAATTTGAATCAAATTTCAGAACCATAATTATTCAGAAGCTAGAAAAAGTCAGTTGCGCAATTTTATAACCATGGTTGTTCGCAAATAATGCTAATATGGTCATTCCTGAAAATCTGGCGAACCATTCTCGAGGAGTGGGGAGGGGGATGGGGAAAAAAAATAATGTATCGGCTCAATGTCAATCGGTTCCTACAACTTCCTTTACTCTAAGGAACGGAATCGTATAGATGCAGTTAATGAGTCACTTTTGAATCAATCATTTAAATCAACGATTTTCCTCTAAATATTAAAAAATTATTGCTGAAAAAATCTCAACAGGACGAAGGCTCGTACAGCATATTGAAAAGGCTCATTTTTGGGAATTCATAATACAGAACAGGCCGAAATTAGCATGGTTGCACGGTGCTTTTACACCTGCTAAGGGACCTCTTAATCACTAAATCAAAGTAGTCCACTTTTCTCCTCTTCCATTTCCTATCCTCCATTTCCTTCCAAGCTGACTTTCTCTGATGCACCACTGTTGCAGGGATTTGCACAATGTTTACAAAGCAGAGCAGAACATCAGAATGTTCTGTTTACAAATGACTCCTTAGATCTCTACGCTACAGAATATTTGCGGCTACTGCGAAAGAGAAAGTTGAACTCGAATACATCAAAGACGCAAGAGAGAAATCTCGGTTACAAACATTAACTTGGATTATCGCTGCCCGCGCAAAATGAACGGCAAACTCTGGATGAAAATAGATCAGCGATAAGCAGCTTAGTTATTCTTGCACGGGAAGCAGTTCTATTATAAAAGTGAAAAATTACCAAGCACGGGAAAGTGATTAATAAGCCGTTTACTCACTTATATCCATGCGAAATAAATTGATAAGCGTAATTTGCTTTGAATAACCCCTTCTCTAATTCTTAAAGACTTTTTTCGCTCTGTGAAGCCGAAATTGATTCAGAACTCATGAACATTTCCTGATCTAAGCCCCCACTGTTAGTTCTAGATTAAGCTGGAATTTAGATCAACCAACTACATCAAACAACTTATATACTCAATTATTTCACGCATTTTTCTCCAGAAGTACACGTGAACTCGCCTCAAATTTCTTTATTTTCAAACTAGTAGGAGAAAAAAATGCTCCCATTTTCCTTTCGAGAATCTTCGAAAAGAATTGCTGGCGCAAATAGGGACAGTACATAAAAAAGCTATTTTCGGGTGTCTGATGTTTTTGAAAATTTACATTATCTCGAAGCAAAAAAACCCAAATATATTAGGTCGTCCCGAAAGTTCTTGCGCATGATTTTCAAAATTTGTAACTTCGCGCTATTGCAACGGATTTGCCTGCCTGTAATTTTGTTAGAAAGAATGAGTATTTCGCTTTCAAATGCTTTTCTGCGTAGCTTTTGGTTGACATTGGATGCGGAGATAAAAATGGAAAAGTAAGACCATATGAGCTTTGACCATTTTAAGTTAGGTCGCCAAAAATTGGAAACGCTGCAGAAAAATCTGAAATCGTCAGTACATATGTTTTTTGGCCTACTCTTTGCAATTGTGAAGAGTATGCGCTGTTTAGACGTCTCTGTGAGAAGTTGTGATTAAATCGACAAATTTACATTAATTTTGGCGTTTTCCATAGTAAACTCGATATTCACAACTTCTCACAGAGACGTCCAAACAGCACAAACTTTTCAAATTTGCAAAGGGTAGGCCAAGATACATAAGTACTGACGATTTCAGATTTTTCTGCAGCGTTCCCGATTTTTGGCGACCTAACTTAAAATGGTCAAAGCTTATATGGTCTTAATTTTCCATTTTTATCTCTGCACCCAATGTGAAGCAGAAGCTCCGCAAAACAGCGTTTAAAAGCGAAAGACTATTCTTTCTAATAAAATTACAGGCAAGCAAATCCGTTGAAACAGCGCAAAGTTACAAAATTTTGAAAATCGTGCGCAAGAACTTTCGGGACGACCTAATATAAACATCTCAAAAAACACTCGATTAATTCAAAACACTGTACAAATAATGGTCGCAGCAGAGAAAAAGCTGGACTGGACATCAGCTCGAATGTGTGCTCAAATAATTGTCGGTATAGAATATGCTAAAAAGAGACAAAGTAAAGGCAAAATTTCGCGATTTCTAGAAAACATTCAAAAGCAATGATCAGCGCTGAATGATATTCCCATCAAATTACGGAAAGCTTATAGAAAGTGACCACTGCGAGAGAATCTGAAAATTAGAGAGGGCTTGGACGCGGTATCCTACAAGATATGGCCAGATGCTTTGATTGATAGTGCATTCAGCTTTAGCAGATGCTCAAACACGTAAACTAGCAACAAGTGCTCAACGTACAAAGGAATTTACAAGAATCCAATGTGCAAATACACTAATCTAACGTGCCTTCCATTGAACATTTCCGGTGAGTCCCATTTGCTTGAAAACAAAATCTCATTTTCCAACAACTCTGACTGCAGCCTTGTTAGAATATTTCGCTATTTTCTGGTCCTCCCTTCGCCAAAAAAATCAAAATATTAGGCTGGCTAAATAAGTTCGTTTTGGCATGCAAATCTTCATAAGAAAATTTCTTGTTGTTTTCTATCCATTATTCTTTGTGGTAAAGTAGATCAAAGCTTCCTCTATCACATATCAGATATCCAGGATTTTCTATCATCAGTTAAGACAGTTATTGCCTTTACATGGCTAAATTTCTAAAAGCCTAATTCTTTGAATTCCTAAGCTTCGCTCTCGTGCTGTAAATGGATGTAGAGAACAGCAGTTCGGTATTTGAAACAGAGAAGTTTTCGTTATTTAGTGAATAACAATGGAAAGTGTAATAACCAAATCTCCTCGTATTTGCGCCTAATAAGAACAGTGAGGTTTCTCTCTTTGCGAATTTTTTTTAGAAGATGACTTCCAGTCAAGCAAAATTTATACTCCAATTCCCACTGAAGTGCTCTTTTCAAAGATATCAAACACTGGACAAAAATTTGTCTGCAGCACTTGTAAGGGCAGCAAAAGCAACCGAACTTTTATATACCCAACCTAATAATTATAAGATTCTAAAAGACATAGGCGACGGTATTGCAAAAAACTTTGGAAAGTATTTAACAATGATTGGACCCCATATGGCAAGATTGTTTACTACATGTGTGCGCAGAACATAAAGAATGACCGCTGATGTGTTATACGACAACTAGAGTAATCCAAACTTTGTCGGACTGTAGGCGGATACGGCAGCAATAGACCATAATATATTGTTCTGATGGTCCGCACCGTAACCCTACAGTAATGAAGGGCGATGGTGGTATGTTTCGTACTGTGAACGTAAGCTGAAGTCAACACAGTTTACTATGTAAAAGTCTGCAAGAGCTGGCAATACGGAAAAAGTATTGGCCATCCATTTGTACCACTTTTTCGGCACCCCGTACTTTTATTAATTTTCCATTCCCCTCCCCCCTTGGAGCAGTTGCAGACTTCTGCATGTGCACGATTCAGTCGCATTGCATGTCCTATTCTCAAATTGTATCCTATTATCGTATAGACAGACACTCAAAGTGCAACATTGAATAGGATATCTTTCACAAAAAGGAAATCTGTGGAAGTAGTAAAAAAGGAGCTATTGTTGTTTAGTAGGTAGTTAGAGTATATTAGACCAGAACCAATGAGAAGATGTCGAATCTAGACTGTATTTCTGGAAGCATCTATTGGACAAATTTCAAGAAGAAAAGAATAAATGCGCTTAGGCTTAGCCCCGATTCTTTCCCAAAAAAATAAGTTGTAATAAGCTTATTACTAGCGTGAACTTGTGGAGCTCCCTACGTTTTTCTACTTCGCTGGTTTTCTCCCTCAAGCGTAAACAACGACTCAGTATATGACAGAAAACGAAAAACAACCAAACGAAGCGACTCCGGGGTGGAAGTGGACAAACCTGTGCGCAAGAGCCCGAACGCGACTGATTCGACCGCTGACGTTTCCGCCTGGTGTGTCCGGTTCCTGGAGCTCAGCCGTTGACATCGTGGACGTCCCTGACGGATTCAGCGACAACAAACAGGCATTTTAGGCTGGCCTAAAATGAGGAACGAATGAGTGAATGAATGGGTTACTTAATTGGTAGAATGGATAATAATATCACTCAATCAATCAGTAATAAATGGAGAAGATGAAACATTACGAGAAATTTATTGAGTATTCTAATGAAATTCTAGCATTTCAATGAATCGGTTTGGAAAGGAATGGCTTAGTAATTTGGATGTGCGAATAAGTAGAAAATGAGGAACATGATAATCTCAGCAATCTAAAGCCAATCAAACAGAAGATGAGATTGGAAAGTTAGACAGGACGTGATTTTATGAATTTTATTTGAACGAAAATTTGGGCAGTATCAGCACGTATGATGGAAGGATAGGAATGACTGAGTGGATGAATGAGTGAAAGATAAATAAATAAATAAATAATGCAAACAAATTAAGACCCCTCCAAAAAGGATGGGATTGGATAGAAAGATAAGAACTGATCCAAAAGGTTCCACTCCAAGTAGAAAATTGAGCGTTTTTGATGGATTGACTACATGAATGAATGGATGAATAAATGGATGAATTTTATGATTAATCAATCAAAATCGCAAAGGCTGTTACGATGTCTGCAAATTTAGCAAATGTATTGACTGCATTATGAGATGAACAATTAATGTTTTGGTCTGCAAATGATTGTTTCTATTTTGAAGGTGTATTCTGAATGTTTTCTACATGACGAATGAACGAGAGAAGATTCATGAATTTTCAGGACAGTAGGGTTTAGGAAAAGCATACTCTGAAGCGAAAAAAGTTAATAAATGCTTATAAATGTTTGCATGATAAAGTGAATGAATGGCTAGAGAAAACGAATAAGTAGGCTCTAACGCGCGAAGGTAGACAAATGAGAGAATAAAATTAACTGCGATGAATGATGAGAAAACAGAAGCGATAATCTCCATACTGAACATTCATTCACGATAAACTTATCGTTAGCACTGTACCCTCCACCTTGAGAATAAGGCTGCAAGCCTAGGTGCATAACCATATAAGAACAGCTACAATAATAGGACCCGCACTATGTCACTATGACAACCTGGGATGCTGGGTTGGTTGTAAATGCTACATACAAAATGAGTATGGCCTCGAAAACCACTTCATTACGCCACATTTGAAAGACAATTTCCAGGTACTCGGTATGGGCTTTCTTTTTATGTAAATGTTGATAGGGAACCTAAAGCCTCAGCGCCAGTCATTCAAATCGGGCCAAAAAATTCATCTCTGAACTCCCAGACAGTGTTTTTATGAATGTACAGGCGCATACTGTACTCGAAAATGCTGCATAGTACGCACGGAGAGATACGATTCGGCGAGATTTAAGTCAAGATATTCGGCCCAGAATTGTATGAGCTGGGGGTAATATGTATGTAGCTTAGTGAAGACACCTTAATCGCTTTCCACTTAGAATCCAGGTACCTGAATTCCCTGGAAACATTGCTCACGACGTAGAACATTCACATTTCATGGTGAATGGGATGACTTCTAAGTCCGGTGTATTACAAATATTTTTCGTACAGCAAAAGAAACATCGGATTCTAAAACTGAAATGCGTCAACATTTCAAAAACACTCCTGCAATAACAGTATTACAAAGATAGAACGCACGTCTTGACTTACTTTGCAGGAGAGCTGGTTCTAAAATTGCTTCTGATTCACCTAACAAGTTGGTGAATACTCAAAAGGAGCACGAGTTGTCATCACATTGATTTGGCAAAGTACAAGGATGGCTAACGCTTGCAGTATAAGTAATCGGTTACGTATCGAGGAGAACGGCAGGTGCCAAAAAAAATTCCCGAAGTGAGCTAATAAGATGCGATTTGCATAGCTGGTAAGAAAAAATATATTTTCTACTGTGAAGGGTTATGCGCTCATAAATAGTGCAATTATGAGCACTATGATGCAAATGATAGTGAAAAAAACCGTAGGCGAAAATAGAAAGCACGAGTATGATGAGAAATTATTTTGGAAATGAAATAATCTCAAAGCTCTCACTTGCGCACAAAAGATGTCAAGCTTTTTAAAAATGTGGAGCAATCCCTCTCCCTCGTGCCTTACCCTTCCAAAGTTCAGATAAAAATAATCTGACCCCGCCCTTAGCTCCGCCCAAACACTGTCTTGCCAGATTTTCTTCCTGTTCCCCCAAAACCAAATTTACATCAGTGAGTGGCACAATGACGCAGCGATGCAACGAGAAGCTAACGCTATGGTTTTTCTTCTCTTTTGCCAGAAAGTGAAAGTACAAGGGAAAGCAGAACAAGAAAATGTTAAGAAGCAGCCAGTGACCAGCAAGTTGAAAGACATCCGATATTTTCACATAAAAAATAGCTGACAATAGCAAAACCAGCTACGCGAAGACAGCAGCTGCTCAGATTTTACACCTTATACAAACAGGAACAATTCCAGCGCTCTAGGATTCAATTTTCTAAGTGCAAATGAACTTTCGAAATTGTGCAGACGATGCAGATATAATATAAGAATGTGCCGCATGTCTTGCGTGCAGCAGGCCTACAACAATTAGTAAATATTTTTATTCTGCATGTTAAACGAATTTCCTGTCCAGATTTCTAGATGTGAAAAGCATTTATGTATGGCAAAACCATGGCAACAGTACACACAACCTTTTCTCTCTAAAAAAATGGGAATTGAACAGAATCAAAGATGTAAATCATGTATTACAGTTAATGTAGTGGACATAGACAGTGAGAAACACACACAATACACATTTCTGGAAAATGTGTTAAAATATCTCCGGATTGATACCAAGAAACTTCACAGGAAAAACACATTCCGTAAATTAATATCCAGTTCATGATTTTGCCATTTCACGGTAATTGTCAAGGCTGAGATGAACTAAATTTTTTGTCGCCCAATGATCATTGTATGACCTAATATTACATCACATTATCAGAATCTGAGTAATCTTTCAAAAAAATCTTGCAAGATTTTATTGGTTGAAAATTATCCTAATATACTAAACGAATTTTGTTTACTACGAATTTTCGAATGGTCAACAAAAAATACTGCGAAAAGCTCATGATTTAGAGCTTTGCCTTCATAATGACTAACAATATATTCACAATTTATAATTTTATCATATTTTATAAGAAAGTAAACACAATCCTAACCTTTTTATCCTTTGTTAAGATACATTCACTTTAGTTGGCTTGACAACTGACTTAGTGCCCGCGCACTGACAGCAACGTTTGCGCGGAAAAAATAAAACGCAGTGAATGCCGAGAACGTGCTTGTGGCTTGCGCGTGAAAGTGACCTCAGAGCGCACGCTACCTTGTTTACGCGCAGATGTTGTCGGCAACGCAAAACCACTATATCAGCTATCACATCTACTTTGTGGGCTATATCTTCAACATGCAGCAATTCCGTATGGCTAAATTTTCCTATTTCGCTTATTTGCTCAAAATATTAATTATATTCACTTCTATTCAAATGATAGAATTGCAAATGTATCATTGTATTGCCTGTAGCGAATTTGGAAGTGATTCTGAAATTTATTCAAGATTCTTTTACAATGCATAGACGTCATGGTATGAGGCAGACAACAGAATGTAGCCATGGTTGTGACAGTATATGAGCTAAAGTGTCCAGAGGATAATGACACAAGCCAGTATGATTATCTATGGGGAAAAGATCACTTTCAATAGCTGCAATATTGTCTTTCTGAAAATAATTGATCGTATATTACTATGATAAAATTTGTTGAGCAATATGTAAGTGTATAGTTAAAGCGAAGAAGGTGATAATTGGGATACACAGTTTTTATGTTTTCGTCACCAATATTAGTAATCCCTCTACAAAATGACAATTTTGCAAAATCTGCCACGTAAGATCTTATCAAGTTCTAGTTCAGCCGACGATATTCTTACCCCCTCTCCCTAGACGGTCAACTAATTCTCAAAGAATTCAGAGTTACTCACGAAAACAACTTCATTAGAGAGTGATCACAGATGTATGACAGTGAACTCCCCCTCCCATCGGTCGCAAACTGAAAAAGGGTTCGCGAAATTTTCGGTGGTTACTTAAAACTAATAAGCAAGCGACTTTGCCTGTAAATAATTTTTGAAAGTTTGTGAAAAAGCTTTTGGGATCTCCTTCAAGATTTTAAGACACAAAAGAAGAGAAAGGGTCCCAAAAAAGTATTCTAGGAACAATAGTTTTGTTCTGAAATTCTGGATAAAAGTATGAGAAAGAGACAATTCTTATGAGGCATTAAGTTCGTCATATAATTGACAAATTTGCACAAGTCGGAACCTTTTGATTTTGGGGGAGATTTTACGAAAATCTGTTGTTGCCCTATTTACCGTAGATCTACCGTAGCCCTGGTATGCCAGAAATTATGAAAAGAAGGTATACTTCAAAATCCTGACATGATAAATACAACTCAATCAAAATTCTTATTCAGGTAGCGAAAAATTGTTCATCATTTTTCACTATCAGTTCGATAGGCCACTTCAGTAAAACTTTAAATTTTGTGGAACTTTCTAAAGGCAAGGGGATCAACAACAGTGTCGTAACAGAGCTGGTCCGTACAGAAGCACAAACAGGCCAAATAGATGCGCATTTGAACGAGCCTGTCATTGTAGATCATCCTTTTCGCGTAAACAAACACCAATGCGGTCAACAAAACCAGGATCGAGGAAGTCGAAATTGTTCTGAGAATAGCGGTAACCTTGGCTGCCTTGACAAGCAGTCTTGGTCAAACAGTCCAGTTCGGACAATGTAAAATACCGCCATGTGCAAATTGTTTCCATATCTATTCGTTCGCAAAAAGTTACGAGTGCAAATTTTCCTGATATACATTTTTTGTGCAGTAAGTAACTTGAAAAAGAAGTTGCGCTATTCGCTTCTAAGGAAAACTACGGCTACAGCGCGCAGGCTCTTGTCCGCTTAGTAATTTCCTTTCTGCGACCCAAAGGCGGCAAAGCCGCACCGCAGCATGGACGCAGTGCGTTTACTTCTCCGTCGCCGCCAAATCAAGTTAA